CATTTCATTGGTATCCATTCTGATGTCTTTTGAACTTGTTTAACTTCAGTTAACGAATTTAGGCGGTTTGCCACTTGAGAGGATCTTCGTCACCCTTAATACTGTCATGCCTACATTCAAAGGTACAACAAGAGATGAGCTATCAAGCTTATTAGAAATGATGCAACGTGAAGGAACGGTGATTCCGATGGGTGATCTATGGAAGATTGTGAAATGAGTCTGAAACTGATCATTGAGTGGAGTGGACGATGAGGAAAATCAGGGTGAAAGTATGTAGTTTGTTTAATCTAGTTTTCTGAGATGTGGAAATTCTAGAAGAAGTTTCTTTTTACATCCATTAGGAGAGGTTGTTAATTTTGGGTTGTAATATGTGAAAATGACTAATTCACTTATAATTTTGATTTTAGATCAAGGCCTTGCAAAGGATCAAAGAGGAAAACATAAGATAGAGAGCACATACTATGCAGTAGGGCTTTAACTTAATTCCCACATTTTAAGTTCAATATTATTATGCTTGGTAAAGAAAAATGCATGTTTACCTAATCTGTCTCTAAAGACCAAGAGAAAGCAAACACAAGAGATGGCTGAGTGTATTGCTGAGTGAATTGTATGTTCCTGGTCATCATCAATACCATCATTGAAAGAAGTTTGATACTCTGGATCAAAGGCTCTTTTGGATTCATGTAGAATGTTTGGAGCAAGCATTTGAAATGAATTTGGATGTGCCCATTTTGTCAAAATCAATACAATATCAAGATACATGTTTGAAGAGCTTCTCAATTTCTTTTGACTTCTTCATGTCAATGAGATTTATTTTTGTTTTCGTTGTTGCAAAAGGCCTTCTTTTGATTGTTGGGCACCTAAATCCACCGCGCTCTTCGACAAGCAATACATAAGCTATGAAACCAGTTATGTGTTTGAGTTTTTTTGAATGTTACAGGTGCCCAAAGGCACGACAGTACCTGTATAATTCCATGTAAAGTCAGACAGATGAGGATAAGATATGTAAGAGCCCGGTACAGAGAAACTCTCGGTACCGGGCAGGAAAAAGTGTAATGCATACCAACCCCCAACGCTTTTTCAAAAGTGAAGAATATAGTCATCTTCTTTACTTCTTCACTTTCTTACAAATATTATCCAAAAATCACCTCATCCATCCTTTCCTCTTTTTCGTAGCAAAAAGTAAAAGGTAATAATCTTAGTAATCTTTTTCTTCTTCTTCATTTCAAATAATTTCTTTTGCAACAAATCTCAGTAAAAACTAAATAGATACAATTAGTTTTAAAAAGAAGAACAATCTCTAAGATAAATTACCAGCCACTCTCTTATCATGTCAAACCAAACCTTCGCAGACAACATGGATGATTTAAATGTTCAACCCAGAGATGGGACCTCAGGCAACTCATCAAACACAAACGAGATCATCCAACAACGAAGGACTAGAGGAAAAGGAAAGAAAAATCAACAAGAAGAAGATCAAAGTAAGAAAGGAGACGAAGATAAGACAGTCGAAGGAAGTAACGTTAACAACAAGGATACAAACGGAGAACAAAATCAAACTGGTGGTAACATCCAAGAAGGTGAAGATGAATCAAATTATCCAAGATTTCAGACCAATGAAGTTGTCCTTTAGTATCTTTGAGATTCTTTGAGCTAGATTTTGAAGGTTTCGAATTCGAAGAAGTTGTCGTGTTGAAAGATGAAGAGGATGAGGTCAACGCCAGAACCAATACGACACGAAAGTCGGTGTCGTATTGGTATCGTATCGCCAATCCGACATGAAATATCGGATTTCTCCATTAAGCCATGTCGGGTATTGGCAACGCGATACCGGTCATAACCGATATGATATCGCTTATATCGGTTCAAGTATAAGGAGCGTAGCCGTATCCCCCCCTCTGCGAGACAAGAGACGTCTCGCAAGACGACTCTCCTTTTGGTTATTTTTGGTGTACAGCGCGGTACAGGTCTTGTTCAGTAGAAATCTGTACGTAGTTTGAAGTGGCTGAGGGTCAGACAACATAAAAGAGCAGTCACCCCCTTGAAATTTATAAACAAATTTGAGAAACACCATCCTCATCACGGCCTCATCAAACCTTTCCAACCCATCTTCTCACAAGCTTCACGAGATGTGGTATTTAACAAAAAAATACCCTATCCTCCGCAAGCAACTACCTCATCCCAGCGTTGGAATCCAGACTGGATTTGGTTGTCCGAAATGTCCTTACAATGAGAAACATCCACTGGAATATGTCAAGGCCAACCGTTACAATCAAAATCCTGATCTTATTGGTTTAAGGGTGCGTGGATTGATTATCACTACTTCAGTTGTTCTTGTGAAAATTATTTGACACATTTATCGATGGGGGATTTTAGTGCTCAACAATCAAAGATGCAAGCCACTTTTTCCAAACCCCTTACTTACAGGATGTCATTAATGAAGTGGAACTTTTCAACAAAGGGGCGAATGACTCAGGCTCTACCTTCAACCTGCCCAGCTCTGAAGGGCCCGATGACAACAATGGCGCCAACTCGGGTAGATGCCAAGGGGTGAATGGTCTTCATGCATCTGGCCATCGTGGAAGTTGCCTGAAACGATGTCCAAATCAGCTATGTCAACAAGTAAGTATACGACTGTAATTTTTGAAGCTTTAACTGACATCGCACTATTAATAGTGCTGTCGTCATATGGCCAAGAAAGTTTGTTCACATCACCGTGATCGCAATGCTGGCACTCTTGAGCTATCCACGCTTTCGAAACCAACTCCATCCTCAGTGTTCAACACCGCTCCAACTCGGATTTTGGCTCCATTGCCTATACGTCGAACAGTCAACCGTCCTACTCAATCTGCTCAAGCCGATAGAGCGGTTCTCAAAGATCTATCTCAGGATGCCCTTACTCACTACAACAATGAAAGACGACGTACTCAAAATGAAAAAGATGGGATGCGTACCAGGGACTTGGAACTTCAAGTGTGGCTCAAGGTGTGTCTTTACCTTTTTGAGAATGAATTGCTGAAGCTGAACCTTTTGTGTATTTCAATAAATAGGCAGGTGAGGGAACCTTAATTGGGGCGCAGGCAACTGACTTCCCTCGATTTGCGCTGATTGAAAGTAAACCGTTACGTGACTTATCGTTTGCCGAGCTGAAGGACCAATGGGACACTCGATTAGAGATATATCAAGCTGCCTCTAAGAAATGGGTGCGTCAATTTTTGCAATCGGACAATCATCAATCTCATGCTGATTGTACATATGCATTTGACTCTTAGATCTTGAGTGATGCGACTTTAAGCTACACATACAGCCTTTCGACTGCTGTTATATTCATTAAAGCAGCTGGATTATGTCAAAGCGATTGTATTGGACTTGCTGAAGAAATCGAAAAGGTAACTATCAACCCTTCGAACTCATTGAATCCGACCTCAAGCACTCAAGATTCCTCATTAGATCTCAACTCTTATCTTTCAATGGATGGACCATTGGGCATATGGGGTCATGGAAAGAAAACAAATATCATCTCAAGTGATAATTCAGACAGTTCGGATATTGAAGTGATGTTACCTGAAGGCCACAGTAAAAGAAAGCTAACCGATCGAAATGAAAAGGTCCCATTTCAAAAGAAGGCTTGTCTGAGCACTCAATCTTGGCCTGGCAAGACTTGCAAGTTATCGGAGCTCATAATTTGGTGTGATAAAGCACCCAAAGGCTCTGTTACTACAGGTGTTACAAAGAAGACTTGGTACGAAATATTTGGCGACCGATACCATCCTGATGCAGGTTTCAAAACACCTTATAAATATCGTACCTGGGTTTTGAAGAAGAGATCTGAGCTTATTGACTGGATGGCGAGTAGGCCGGAGGCCACAGTCAAGGAAGCTACAGTTGTTTTTCGAGAATCCTTTCGTCAGATCACCTCTGGTCGGGGAGGTCCTTGTGTAGCAGTGGTGATAGATTAATAAGATGTTTGACTTAGAATTGTTTATACCCCAGATCGACCGTATCTGTTTGATACTCATTTGAAATCAAAATTACTTTTCATTGCTATTAATAAAGTCGAGCCTGGGTTTGACCTACATATTACTCAACTCACCCAAAGTTGAACAAATTGACTCACAGTTTTTTTGAATCGATCATTATTATCATATGTATTGAACCATGATCTCATGATTGATTGTTATACCCATCAATTGATTGAGCCTATCATGGATTAATCTGACAATTGTTTGAGTGAATTATTCATCAAATAATCTTATCATTTTTTCAGTTTGCCTTTAGGCATTACAAATCTTATCACAGTAATAAGGATTAAAGAAATGTTTTAAGGTGCTTGATTGATTGCATGTTGATCCATACAATAACTAAAATCAACTAAAAGATCCAACCTTTTGTTATGAAATCCACATCAGTTCTCATCTTCAGCTTTTTCTCTAACCATCCATTTCGTAATCTGACCATCTCTTCTAGAAAGAAGTTGTAGCGGATAGCATGCATACCTCTGCAAATGGATGCAAATCCACCGTACCAGATGTTTGTCAGTTCGGCAGCTGAAGAGTTGAATAACCACTTGCCACCCTTTTTCAGGTCAGGTATCTTGTTTGGATCAGTAAATTCTTGGCAGAATCGATCGGATTCTTTATGTGAACACATGTGAAAGACATCAACTGGAATGACAACATCCTTGAAAGCTTTAGCATCCTCAGGATTGCTCCAGATGTGCTGAACCAAATTGCACGCGTTATCGTAGAATATTAGGTTGGGGATACTTGCTGGGAAAGAGTCCAATATGAATTGCTACCACATATATAAAATATATGAATGTCAGTTGGAATTAATTTAATCTAATTATGAAATGAATTTCATCCTGACTGACCTTAACAGCGCTGGGGGCTTCTGCTCGGTAAAAAGTACGCCGTGCCAAAATGATCCCACAAGTACTGACAATCAGCTGGTCATTGTGAGTACGACAGCGTGACATACAGGGTTTACGGCCATGTTTTTTTTTATTTGTCTGATTGTCAGTGTTTTGAGAAAGGTTGTCGTCCATATCTTGTCCACCATATCTTTCTGCTTCATGTTTACGATCGGCCTCATCAACGTCAACAAGTGTTGATTCATCCAATTCTGCTGTCCAACAATTTTGATGGACTGATGGATCTGTTGGTAATCTAGCTCCAGGACGAGATAATTTTGATGTCATTGTGAAGTTTTGAAGCTTGCGGTCGTGGAACTGTTTTGAAATAGCAAAATGTTCAGGATCATTGCAGGTGTCATGCTCAGGTTGACGTGTCCTTGTACATGGCTGAACTACACATTCATCTTTCAAGAGACACTGATGATCTTTACACAATCTATCATGTATGCTTGTTAAGACATTGAGACAAGGGCCATCGGGAATTGGAGAGTTTGATAATTCAGCTATCTTCTTCAATTGTTCACTTGAAGCACTGCAGCACCAATGGCCAATAGTGACACCATCAGTGACACAAGCACGGATTGCTAGATTAATCAGAAGGGAAAGGATTATTATGTCAGAACAATCATGAAAAGGAATAACACAAGAAATTCCCTACCTTTATTTTCATCAGAAACATATAGGCATTTGCCACATGCGTGATCTTTATACTCAGTACCAGATCTTGACCAATAATCAATTTGTTCCTTCATTGCTTTCAAATATCTCTGAGAGTCTATACCAGCAGTTGGAACGGTAAGAACAGCATTTCGGAGGTCAAAGTGATACAATAGACGGTGAATTTCAAGACCATCACGACAGACTTCCGGTGACATTGACGCTCCAAAAGATTGTTCTTCTTTGAACTTTAGGGATTCATCGCTTTTGTGCTGATTGTTATACAAGTTTACAAGATTGAATATTGAGACACTATGGGTTGATTGGATCAGATCAAGTTCTTTCACAATGAAAAAAAACATCAAAAACTTACTGAGCCAACATCTGCATAAAGGAAAAATGCTCGGCCAGGTCCTTCTTCATAAAGTAGTGTTGATGTACTTGAATAACTTCCAGATCTCGTCCCTGAGCTTTGGTATAAAAATATCTAGTACCCTGGTGGGAATAGTATGTTGGTCTAAATGCAGTGCAGCAATCTATCCAGCATCCTCGTCAGTTTTTTGAAATCCCACAGACACAAAAGAAATTACCAATTACCTTCACAATATAGCGAGACAATCCTTATTGATTGTATTCCATCGAGACCATACAGATAGCCATTTATGATATCCTTTGTCTTGACTGGAAGATCCCGAAGGTGATTTGGATCACAGAACGGGCAATGCTTGACCGGTGGATAGAGAAATCGAGTCGGAATCTGACGAGTAAACTGCAAACCAACCCTCTTGACCACTTTGAAAGGAAGGACTAGACATCTTTCAAGGAAAGGGAATGCATGTAACCATAAGTGAGAGAGAGCTGCACGTGGGATTTGGTATTCGAGTGCTTCAAAGAGGTATTCCATATGTGAACGAGTTTCTGATAAATATAAACCACGACCAGCACGCAGGAGCAAATCACCTCCAAATTGACAAAAGCGTACAAGATCTTCAATTTGAAGGTTGTTGTATACCTCGGGAACAGTCTTCAGCTTTCGAACAAAGTCCCTGAAAAACATTGCGGAATCGGGGACGGAAAAGATCAGACCAGTAACAATGATCTCTCGAACAGAACAAACAAAAAGAAGCCCACGAGACTATTTAATCATAAAGGTCTCTTGCACAACTTCTATTGATTGATTGGATTTATAATCCGATGTCCTGGATAGAAAAAGTTTCATATCGATGAATCCGGTCTGCTGGATTCCCACTTCTTACAAGTTTTGTGCACACTTTCCACTATTGAAGCAGATTGAAGCATTACTTAAAACATCCCAAATACCAAATCCGAGCATTGAGCATTATGATTTAAATCATACAATTTAATACTGAGACTTTTCAATCAATGTGCCCAATTAATTGAGATATTCGATGAGCTTGTTGAGGGTTCATTGCTATTGGCTCACTGCCTTCCAACAAACCCGGAACAGCATATCTGATCAAAATCAAAAGCCTTATCTCAAGTCCAGTTCATTGTTTTTGGCTCACTGCCGTCCAACAAACTCAGAGTTAGCGTATTCTGATGATAGGCTTGTGATATGGTGAATCAAAAAATCCGCACTTCAATGGTCTTTATATATCTTTGGGATGGTATCAAATTGACTTATAAAATTAATTTTTGCTTTTAATCGAAAGACTTAAAAGCAATTAAAAGCAAGACAATTAAAAGCAAGACAATTAAAAGCAAGACAAGGTCATTGAGCAACACCTAGCATAAGCATTGAATCACGAAAGGAAATGATTTGCATAATGAAAGCTCTCATAAGCAAAAGGATCCAAACCGTCGAAATGCAGGTATTCCTTCAAAAGCCTCCAAAGCAATCACAAGTATACACTTTTCGAATCAAAAGAAACGTGCACAATCAAAAGTGAGTAATTAAGTACTTTTTTTGCTTTCGATTGCAGCTTCTCATGTAGAATGAAATGTGTTCTTGCTTTCAATATAAAGAATTGAAAGTTTTCTTTTCTTCTGGATCAAAATGAAAAGAACAAAATCAAATCAATGATCATGTTCCCTTCTTTATTATCCAATCAAATTAATTAGATAATACATGTGATTATCTAAGCATCGATTATCTAATTGAATCGAATGCTTTCGATTAAAAGAATTGAGAGCTTTATCAACTCCTGATCCAAAAGAAACCACGACATTGAATCAGTCATCTAATCAAACCAATTATAAATCAAAGTGTATATATCCTGTTTTATGAAGTCCTATGTATCGGCACCACAGGAGCTCAACAAAGACAACCGCACTGTGACTGTTTCATTTGACTCTCACTACTCTCACATAACGTATCTGATACTTGTATCAATACAGATACCTTTCTTAGAAAACTTCTCAGACGAAAAGCGATCTTGAGCAAAAAAAAGCGCCACTGGAAAAAAAATTAAACCAAAGCTGTACGACTCACCCCACGTCTCGCGCTCGTCTCGCAGAAGGGGGGATATGGCTTCCTACCTTTGAGAGGGGCCATATGTCTGCTTTGACATCCAAAGAATGCCTTTGGACCACACGGCCCTTACAAATGGTCACAAACAAGTTCAGTTGGGGATACTGCAGCCCTTTCATGTATTACGGAGCATTCAGTCAGGAAGACTGAGGGTTCAGTTCAGCTGGCTCTCATCTGCCTGAGCCTGGACTCAGACCAATGAGGTTCAGTCTTACAAAAACTCATAAGTCATCTCCCTTTGTCTGTCAAATGCAAGACAAATGCAAGCAAAATGTGAGCATTGAAGGGCCCCCAACGTCGGGGGCCTTCTCTACGGGCACTGTGTTCATCACCTGCAGAACTAGATCTACAAGAACAACGGTAAATCTTCTCACTACAGTGTTCTTGACTTTTTTTCAAATGATCAATTGTTCTCTCCATCTTTTTGTTTATTGAATGCTGACACCTCACCCAAATCATAAAGAGTTCCCTGTGACATACAGGTCTTTGATCATCAATTGTATGCTTATGAATTTGACTTGAATGAAACAAAACAAGATGCTAGGACACAGTTGTTGAGATTAAGCTTTACCCTGTAGAGAGTACCATTTATTGCGCACCCAATCATCCACGTCGGGGGTACAGGTGAGAACTTGCTTGCTGGGGGAATCATTATTATAAAACAGTACCTGGATTGATTTACCAAGATCCACAGATGGTGGGTCTGGTAAGTTGCTCCTCTGTCAATCGGTAGTGATTTTAAAGTTAATTAGGCTTCAATTCTGATTTGTAGGAGAGAGACATATGACTTAAAAGCTGAAGTGGATTATCAACCAAACTTTGATCATTGAGCATGACATCCATTATGTGTCTGAAAATACTGGGTGAGGTGCTGACAGAACAAATGTATATCAACATTTTTCATATTGAACTCTAGGTAAATCAAGTTCGGTTTGTCACATAGAGACTCACTCCTCAAACACGGCCTTTTCACCGGACTCTGTTTCAACAAACATCTGTACGAGATGAGTCAATCAGCCAGTGACCTAGTCTTGCGGTTTGCTCATCAAACACCCTACTCACAACTATATCCTTGAAGTAAGCACATGTGGCATGGCGTGAGATCAAAGCAGTCATACATCTAATCAAGGTTTCAACAAAGGATATGAGTCAATCGGTAAGATGGATAAAGCAAAGAGGATATCTTTTAAAATCAAAAGCAGTTGATAGTATAGTGACTAACTTGTTGTAATCTTTCAAATCAAATCTGGTGCTGTTGGGACCTGCCTCAGGACAATATCCGGAGTTGTGGGTCATCGATAACTTGCGCTTGGAAAGGTTCTTCAGGCAGTTTGATTCAAAGCCAGTCAAGTCACATCCTTTGAGTTGATTGACGGATTTGGGATGACCCATCACACCCACACCTAACGCTTGTAAGAGGAATCCAAGAAGAAACAATGATCTCATGATCACAAGAGCTGGAATGAGTATACAAAAACAATTGTAATTAAAAAAGTAAGAAGGATTTGAAAGATGAGGAATTGGTGTTTGAAGAAAGGATCAGGGACTTGAAGAAATATCCTGATTATATACTTATTACTGACTGAAGGGTACATAAATAGCAATTTCAGCCAGCTGTCGAACATGTCAATGTGAATATCATTTCCTCGCGCAACATCGCCAGGAACTTGATTGAGTTGCAAGCAGCAATGTACAGTCTAACCTGCGCAAATGCATAACTTGGGTGGAAGGCTTTTGCTATGCAATTTGACGGGTTATGCAATTCCATTGTCAAATTTGGCAGTAAAAAGTATGAGAATTTAGGATTTTTTCTATGCATTATCATGGGTTATGCAGTTGCGCAGGTCAGACTGTATGAGGAATATACTTATGTCCAAATTCCCAAGGCAACGCCAACAGAAGTTGTGTGAACAGGTGTGAACTTTGGGACCATATCAAATGCTTAATTCATAATACAAATTGTTTATTGATCAAAGTTATACAGCTGTTTCTAAAATAAAAGTGGCTGTTGTTGTTTTCAATTTTTTTTCTTTTCATATCCGCGGTTATTAATCTTGCAGGAAAGGTCAAATCCAGAGGACTGTACACAGATCTTGATGCCGACGTTTGAGCAGCCTGGACCTCTTCTGCTCCCAATCCAGATAAATAACTCAATCGAGTAAAATAGATTAATCGCGGATATGAAAAAAATAAAATAAAAAACAAAGACAGCCACTTTTATTTTTGAAGCAGCTGTACAAACTTGTAAACCTCACTGCATCACAAAATAACCACAAAAAAATTATCTTTGACCTCATCACAATACAAGATCATCAAACAAAAATGCAAACAAACCAAACCAACAACCACAACACTACAAACTTTTCAACCAACTCATGAAGAAAAATTCTCAACCCAAAGACACAACCAGCACCCATAAACCAACCCAAAACCCCACATCCAACTTTTTCCAAACTCAAACCCGCCCCAAAAAAACCTAATCACTCAATTATTGATGTTTTTATTTTTTCTTCTACATAAGTCCAACACATAATCGTATAATAGAATATATAATCATAAAACTACAAAAGACACCAAAAAGAGATACAGAAAAAAATAATTAAAAATCATCAATACCCAAAACTTGTTAAAAAAATGATCAAAGGCATAACAAAAAGAAAATCAACCATGTTTCAAAAATTCAAAAAAGAAACCCAAAATGTTAACCAAATCAAAAAAAGAGATACCCATCAATGACATGCAAAAAAAACAAAAACAACCCAATTGTCCAAACCCCCAAAAAAACACCACAAAAACACCCTTGATATCCCCCGATGACCAAACCGAATTTCCTCAAATTTCTAAGCCATCAGATCGGATGATACTTTCTAATCTTTCCACTTCTTTCAATAAAGCTTGATTACCAAACCTCATCCATTTAACATACTCAACAGCTCTTTCAATAACGACCGACTTACTAGCTCCCGTTTCAATCTCACCTCTTCTACCTCTACCTCTACCCGATTTAACTTTAACATTCGAAGTTCCATTGGATTTCTCATTCCCATTCGATTTCTCTATAATCCCAATCGTAATACCTGATTGAAGTTCTCCTAATCTTAAGATTTCTACTAAACTTCCAAATCCTCCTTGGATTGCGTTTCTTCGTTTTTGTTCTGATACAATATGTGTGGTTTTGTTAGGGATACCTTTGGATGATGTGTCTTCGTTTCTTTCATTCTCTTTGATTGCCGTTTTTTTATTTGATTCGTTTGGATTGTTCGAATGTGATGTGATGTTCATAGTTGTATTAGATGATGAGGTTGGTGGGTTCGGAATGATCCCACTGAATGGTAAGGGGAGTGATGAAACTTGAGACGGAAGACGGTGTTGGAATTGATGAGGTTGAGGAAAGTTGGAATCATTGAATCGGGTTGGTATCGAATGACGAGTGAGTTCCCAATCATTTGATCCACTCATCACTGGTTCTTCTCTTAATTGAGTCATTTCAATATCATCTTCATCACCAAAAGCACCAGGAAGACCAATCGGAAGTTCATGACCCGAACTACTGTTGACCATAGGTTGTATAAACTGAGTAGTTTCCTTTAACTTAGCCTTCTTTCTTCCCATCTCTTCATTCTCTGATGGAAGATCGATAAGAGAAGAAGTCGAAGGACGTGAAAGAAGTGAAGGAGGTACTCCAGATTGACGTGTACGAGAAGGAGAATGTGATGAAAGTCTAGTCGGAGGTCTTGAAGAAACCGAATTGAACGAATCAGATTCCGATATCTTCAATCGATTGTTAACTTCTCGTTCCATTTCTTCCGTTCCGATCCAATCTTTTCCTCCTTCTCCTTCAATTCGAATCTCATCATGATGTTCAGCTTCTAAACGTCTTTTAAGTTCTCCCAAGACTGGCATACCTTCTGGCATACCTTGTGGCTCGAAATCCCATTCACCATTAAAATCTCCAAAGATATTTAAAAAGGATGAAAACAAATCTTGTTCTGATTGATCAAAGAGAGGTGGTGGGGTGATTAACTTTGAAGAAGGATTGGGATAATAAGCCATCTCGTTGCCAGGTTGATGTTCATTGGAATGATGAGGTGATGGATAAGTTGACATTGAGATTGAAGGTAGCGAAGAGCTTGAATGAGATGATGGAAGACCAGGATCATAGTAAGGAAAAGTAGTAGAACTAGGAGCAGATGAATTGGAAATTGAAGGGTTATGAACTAATTGATTAAATGCCAACTGATCAGATTCAGTAACAGAGGACGTTGGGGCTGGTAAGAGATCGGTGGCAGTGCGCATGACACATGGGTCACTGTCGATCCGAGTCCAAGGTTGGTGGTGGTAATTGGAATTGAGGAAACAGGTCTGTGAAAGGTCAGATGGGATGGGCAGAAGAAGTTCAAGAGATTGAGTGAGATCAGAAGATTCCGTCGATCGAATCGGTGGTTGAAATCGATTTGAACATGAACCAATCAAATCGGGATTACTGAAACCTGGGAATGAGTACTGAAAGTCTAATAACAAAACCAATCAAAGTGTATAACATCCATTCAGCACACTTCTTCTTTTTCAAAAACAAAACATCACTATCATCTGTGGATCCAGTGATTTCATTGGATTCTTGACTCGCGTATGTGCGGTACCCGAGAATCCTTCAAGTTTGGAATGAAAACCTTGATGGTTGTTTTCTTTTCAAAAGTAAATAAAACAAAACCGAAAGATCAACGTACCTTTATATGCAACTGGTGGAGGTAATAATCCAAGACCTTCAGTACTAGGAACCTGAAAGCCTGGATCAGATGTATCGATTGAATGATTCAGATGAAGTGGTTGTTGTTGTTGAGTTTGATCAAGTTGATGATGATGAAAAGTGGATGGATTTGAGGTTGAAGTTGATTGATTGATAGAATAATCGATGTCAGAAGTGTTTAAGTCAGTATCTTGATGATTGATGATAGGACGTTGAGCAGCCGGATCATTGAAAGACATTCTTGATGAAGAGGATGAAACCAGAATCTGATGATAGTTTACCACCAATGCTTTATGATGAGAATTTGAAGATTCTCAAAATAAATGATAACCAATTCAATTCAATCAAATCAATCCAAATGATAAGGAATCAATAATAATGATATTTAAAGGAACACCACTAGGAACGGTCAAGAAAGAAACCGAACCGGTAGCGCTTGGGGTAAAGAATCAAAGTCAAATCAAATCAAATCAAATGGAAAACGGAATAAGTAAAAACCAAAAACATTCAAGATAACCCATCGAAGAATAAAGATGAGATGACACCAGAAAGGAATCAGATACATATGTAGAATAGAGAGAGAGAGAAAGAGAAAGAGAAAGAGAAAGAGAGAAAGAAAGAGGAGGGATTATGTAAAGGATGAGTTTAGATTGGTTCAATAATCCAAGATTACAATATCTTCTATAGCTATTAGATATCTAAGAGTAAGCTCATCATACAAAATCAAATAAAAGAAAGAATCAAAGAATCAAAGAGACCATTCCAATCCAATCCAATCGTACCATTCATAATCCAAACACGACTCACGACTCACCAAATTGCAAGTCTCATCAAACCAATATGTACCAATCTCTCACCCCACCTTCAAACAACTTACCAAGACTTGAACTTCGGATAATTGTACATCCATAACGGCTCAATGATGATCTTAAGCAACTTTCCGTCAAATAAAACCCACAGCCAAAAACCACCAGGAATCAAAACCAACCCATGGATAAACAAGGAAAGTTAATCGAAAATCAAAAACCAAACACCAAGGAAACAAATCCCTCAAAGAGAAACGGAATGTACAGCATTACTCACCTAATTCTCCATTCCAAAAGCTTATTAAAAAGACACTCATCATCCAATTCGGAAGTATCATATCATATCATAGGAGAAACTTCTAAGAATCTCTCCATCTCTTGCTTATTTGTTTGAAGAAAATCTTCAAAAATACCCATTTACCGAACTAGAAAATTAAAATTAAAAAGGTAAAAAGGTAAAAAGGAGTCTTACCAACTTTCTTCAATTCGCATCTTTTCTTTAATTAACTACACCTATGAATCCCAACATCGATTTTACATGTATATCTTCTTATAATTTCTTATTTAACTTTTCAAACTTTCTTAATACCCTACCTCCACTCCCTTAAACCTCTCCTAATCCAGACCAAAAATCTCCCCTTGATCTTCATATCTAATATCTCCTTTAATCCCTTTCGATATTGAGGTACAATAAGTTTTACAAGCTTTTGCAATCGGAAGTCCGTATGTTGTATACAGTGGGTAAAGTCAAGAATGTGTTCCATTTTCTTTCCAAAAACCATGTTGGGGCCAGCATCTAGTTTTCGAGGGGTCCGTTTTCGAACCTAGCCCCCAGTTAAGCACCTAGCGTACGTTACGAGTCACTCTAGTGACCCAGAATGATACAAATCTTACCACAAAATCTCAAGTTTGACCACACGAATCTAAAAAGTCCAGTGATGATACTGGCTCATAAAGAAGACCAAACTCACTAAAAACCAAGTGCTTGAAACTGGTCTTTGCTAAACAAAAACCTCAACAATTCCAGACCCCAAGACCTTTGCAGGCAGAAGTGTAACACATTGTAAGAGACCAGGCTCAGGTTTGTAGGTTTTGGTGTTGCTGAAATATCATTAGGAGGCTTATTTTCAATAATGATTTTTGGAATTCTTTTTTCACAAATGGCTCATAAATCACTTTGAAACAGCTTTTGCCATTTGGTGAAGATAAACAATTTATTATTGTCAAGGCTCACATATTTTTAGTGAGCCTTGTGATAAAGCAGACATCTAACTATGAGGCCTTATGTCAATGCAATTCACTGCTCTAGTCCAGATACTCCTTGCTGAATAGTATGTAACAGATCAAAAAGGTCCATTAAGTCTGGACCTCTAGAATTTGTTACTATTTGAGCTTGCTCTAGTCTAAGGTTTTGATTCTGGACCTTTCATAGGTGATTAAAGCTTTATCTTTCCCCCAAGAATGATTTGCATAAGTTTTATAAGTTGAACTGAACCATACAAGCTAAGAAGGTTGGTGGTACATCATATAACAGGCTGGAGCAAGCATTTTTTTAAAGGTGCTTTGGCAGTGAGTTCATCTGTGAATGTATAAAAGAAGTTCAAAACAAAACCCATTGTGTTGGATATTTTGATGAGCATTCTATCTTTATGCAGTGCTAACTGATTAAGGATACAAACCAACCACACAATTTATGAATCAGAAAACAAATAATGCCAGCGCAGCACTAATTTCATAAAATCAATCTAGCCACATCCCTCACCATTTTCCAAAACCAAGTCCTTAAACTCATCCATCAAGCTCATGAAAGCAATTTCAGGTAATCTGTTTTGCTTAAACCATCTCAAAGCTGATCAAGCAAGGGTTTGGAAAGGTAACCAAATAACATCTTGTAGCATCTCACTTACACTCTATGTAACACATTTTTCTGCCACTTCCAAATCCAAAAACCACTCTAAAAGCACCGGTGCTAAAAGTGAAAAACCGGGTAGGTACAGTCAAACCGGAAAAGCTTGCCACCAATTCCCCGCCAATTTGCTCGAGTTTTGCGGGCAAAATCGGTCAAGCTTTTCCGGTTTGACTGTAACACAACACGCAAATCTGGGCAAGATCCACTTGGTCTCCATTCTCGGCTTTACATATCCAGATTCCACTGTACAAGTTGACATGAATCATGATAAGAAACAGGACCCAGGAATGCTCCTACTGGGGTTTGTGACGAAAAACGTCGGAATTCGGCCCCAGATTTTACCTAGGTTTGTGACGAAAAACGTCGGAATTTGCCATTTTGGTGGAATGTTTGTGACGAAAAATGTCGGTTTTCGCCAGTTCTTAGGGCTAGGCCTGGCTATGTGAATGGAAGAAATGTCACCAGGAAATCACACAATGGAAACCACCACAGCTTCCATCAGATTCTGATTGTGCCATTGCAGTTGGTCGCACCACAAGATCTACTCTTAGCAGACTACACAGCACCTCACACCACTTTACAGCACTCTACAACACTCACCGAGCTCTATATAATCATGCCACTCCTCAATGAAGTGATGAAAGAGGCCTTGCGCCTGGTTGAAGAATGCCCAGTCATTGCCACGGCTACACACGAAGATTTGATTTATCAAACTTGCTCTCATCCACCAAAGTTAGACGTGAAGGATGCGGGAGAAGGAATTTGGTTCGGTGTAAATAAAAGACTCGAAGGCCTGATTGGTTCTGAAAATGGTCACGAATACATCCGAAAAGGATCTGACGGCTTAGCTTTGCTCATCGACTGGATCAATAAGGCTCGTGAGCACCCCACCTGGGATTCACCAGAGGACACGAAACGAAAAACTCAAAAGCAAGGCGAGTGCGACTCAGGATCCGACTTGATGATTAAGTTCAAGTTTGAGAGGCTTTGTAAGAAGGTTGAAGGTAAGCCTTTCTCATTTCTTTCTTTCCAATCATACAAAGAAAACTAGGTCCGCTGACTATGATTTCATGTCTATCAGCACTAGGAAAATCTCTTCCGACTGATCCTCATTCTGATCAATCTGTAACAAACCGTGCCAGTGGAGTTAAGCGCCGAATAGTATCGAACCCTACCCCTGATCCCGATGTTGCAGTATCTGATGTACCTAAACCTCCTGCAAAACGACACCACCAAATAGCTAGTGTATCTACTACAATCTCGATCTCTTCTGATGATGAGCAAAATAAAAATGAAGTCATATTTGTTTCAAGTAATCTTAGTCAAAAATCGAAAAAAAAGGAAAAATCCAAGAAAGCAGATGTTCTTTCTCTATGTCCTCTTTCTGAACCAAACAACCCTTGTATACGTTGTAAGGTTGAGAAGCACCCAAAGGGCAAGATTTTTAGCTGCCACTGCGGTGCAGCACGAGTCACTCTTCATGAAGGACGAGTTGAAGGTGCACAAATGCACTGGAAAAGTAGTCAGTGTTTCTCCTGCCTCTCGTCTTTCAAACCTGTGCTGATGTGCTTTATATTGTTGTACCACAAGGTGCGTGTAAAACTGCAACATCTGGATTAAGAACCAACACACTCTTGAGCTCGTACTTTTTCCACGACCCGGATCGCCAGCCTGTCAACTCGAATATAATCGAGGCTGTTTGTCCAGGTCTTACTGACAAAACCTGGCCTAGACCTCGTTCCGATTGTACGATTGCGGACTTCATGAACAGCACCTGTAGTATGTATCGTGGTATTGACCGGAATGCGCTTCGTAAAGAACTCTTTGGACCCAATTCTACCGAGACGAATCTCTCTCAATCGCAAAAAGCTCAACTTATGGCAACATTGGACGCACGCTGCACTTGGGTGATCAAGCGAAACGGTGAACGCAATGCTATACACGCAAAGAATTGCATGAACATAGTCAAACGCCACAAAAAAGATCCCGAATCGCCCTGTGATGCATGCCTGGAGGCAAAAAACCACCACAGCTTGCCTCGAGCTCTCAGCCACAAGTTTGCTATAGGTGAAAGCAGTAAATTCACACCCAATTATCGGCTAGAAGATGATAAATACCAAGCTTTGGTGCGAAAGCATAAAGGGCTCAAACCTCTCAGCAAGTCTCTTGAATCTTCGCGAAATGGCGACTTTGGCGACTTCCTCGATCTTTTATCACATCAGGCCAAAAAAGGGCTCTTCAAGAACCGCGAAGCAGTTAGAGGATTGATCATGGGATGTGCTATACGAGCCGAGCGCGAGGAGTCCGGGAAGTCTCTCCGAGGGATGCGAATCGATGCTCATCTTGATGATTGCCTCACAACTCTAGGAGCAATGAGCAAGAGCGCACTCAAGCTGGTCACCAAGAACTTTGTTGGGAAGACACTAAGATGTCAACGTCTGGATCGAGCTAAGAGTAAGACTGAGATCGAAGATGGAATGACTCAAGGAAACTTCGATCGAGCGGGTGCAATCCTTGCTGAGCTTGGATATTCAGGACCGGTAGCTGTTGGCTCAGATCAGACAGTCTGTGTACAAACTCTACGACATCATCGTGGTTTTGTTGTTGGAGCCCAGGGAGGTGATATACCCTTCACTAACCCTCACGAGCTTCAGGGATTGCTGGATAAAATCAAGAAGGAGAACAGTTTATGTTCAAAAGTAAGTATTAGTATTTATTTACATAGACTATTGGGTGTGTCCACCGATTGATTATATCTTTTCAACCATTAGATTCGAATTTACACGATCCAGGTTCCTCTTCCAAATATCCCCACTCTAGTTGTTGCTCTGTTAGCTAGTCCGTCCGACGAAAGAGGGGATGAAATAGCCAAACTCCATGAAACAGTCATCAAGATGAGTTCAGCTGCGGGAATCAACGTCTTGTCAATTGGTGCGGATGGAGCTGCAAGTGAACTGGCTGCGCAGGTCAAATTAAATCAGATGTCAACTCGATTTCTAACGTACTCAAACAACGATCTCGATGTTCACATAAAAGTCCCGCTCTTTGGAAATCCACCCCGTCCTGTTGTGACCTTACAGGACCCAAAGCACGCTAGGAAAACAGGAGCTAACCAATTACTATCAGGATCGCGTTTGATTACCATGGGGAAATATGCTGTCTCTCTACAAGACCTTGCTCAGGTTCTACAGACGTCAAACAGCCCACTGCTTGCTAAAGATGTGTTTGACTGCGATAAGCAAGACGATGGCCGCGCCATGAGGACCTTCAGCTCACGAACAGTGGCTACTACGCTAGCTCGACCGGATTGTTGTGGTCTAACTATATACCTGTACATAATTGGCGAGCTATGTGATGCATGGTTGAACAAAACGATAGGTCACCGTGAGCGAATTCGGGCTGTTTGGACGGCGGGGTTTTTCCTACGGATGTGGAAAGCTCACCTTCTCAAGCGACAGCAAGAAACAAACGGTTTGATGAGTTTCCATCTCAACGGTATTTCTCACGCCAGCTTCAAGATATTTTCGACTCTGGCTGAGTCTCTATTGGCATTGATCATATCGCATCGGGATTACTATGCTGAGTTCCCTTTCTGTCCATGGAAACATGGAACAGAAGCCTGCGAACATATCTTTGGGTGGATGAGAGTCATCTCTCCCAACTTTAGTGTTCTCGATGCTCGACTCATGATGCCAAAGATCATTGCAGTGGTAAAGAGTATCATGAGTGGTAGAATGAAAATACCCCCATCGGAACACCTGCATGCAGGATACCAGATTGATTTACATGAAGAGAATCCAAACAACCTCGATCACCTGCGCGATTATCCCACGAACAAAGAAATAGCAGAAGACCTCAAGATTGCTAAACAACGTGCTCTTAGTTTAGCAGACTTTTGCTCAATGGTCACAATTGAGATCACCTTGGATGACGATATTGAAGAGATTGTCAACTCGGCTGCAGAGAAAGTCCAAGCACAAACTTCAGGTATGTAATTCCAAAGGATTATATCTATATCTTGATTGTGCAGCTAATTCACATATGTAATCTTCAGATGTCTCGACTAGCACTGCTAAAGACTTTGAAATCAACTATCGATGTGATGTTGGTCAATTTCCCGAGAACGAGGCTTTTGAAGCCGCAGCTATGTTGACAAAGGAGCAAAACAGACTCAATCTCTTGCTTGATCAAACACCGGATACTCTTGATGGCGACGTGATTCAAAATGCAGCAATGTCTATCTCTAACCTGCTCAACTCCAGTGGTACGTTCTAATCATTTTTATAATGTGATTTGATCTATTGACTGAATCATAACTTATACGATAGATGAGCCTGACAACCCAACAGGTCCTACTTGGACAGCTGGAGACGAAGCTTTGTTGAGTCTGATTGACGGCCACAAACTTCACCACAAAAACGTACTTGAAATAAGAAAACGACATGACAGTCAAGTTGCAAAAAATAAAGGCAACGACCGAATGTTGACTGACCTCGATGACTTAAAACGTGATCTCAACTCAACTACTAATGATGGTAGCATGAAACCTAGTGCTTGCTCGAAAGCCATAGCAGTATTTATGAAGTCTTTTTCTGGAACTCCAGCTGGCGCCGCACGTCGACACCGATGGAATATGCACATAAAGATCAATCTCTCTGGGATTACTACAAACACCAGCACAGATCGAGCTTTGGACATGCAGCAGTTATTTGATGGAGGATCTATTGGTGTTGAAAACCCAATTGAGGCAGGTAAATTTATCATCAGCATCAAAAACAATGTACGTTTTTACTTTTGATGCAAAATGTAATCATTGCTGACGTTTCAAGATTTCTTTTATGGGGTTCAGACACTACATCTTGCACGTACGATAGTTGTATATGAGCACGTTGCTGGAAAACACGCATTTGTTACGAGTGCTACTTCGAGAAAAAAGCTATCACATGTTGGTGTACAAATATTGCACTATAAACCATGGTTACCGGTGGCAACGGCTACTCAGGAGTCTGCTCCTGACACGTGGACCTATGCTCTACTAGACACCCCGGACATCCTCTACGTCTTCAAGCCCTCTGATGGATCAAACTTCGCATTGGTTTCAGAAGGTTGTTATTCAATCCCGTCGGTCATCCGCGAGATGCTCCGAGATATTGACATTCCCAAGCTTATACAAAGGTACAAGCAAGAAAGACAAAAATTGAAGTCAATTGCTCATGACGGAGAAGATGAATAGATGCATCATTTTTGTTCTTTTGTCTATTTCTTTAACATCTTTATTTGATCACACTTTTGATCCAATCACATTCCTTGTGAACTCACATTCCTTATGAACTCACAATCCTTACAATCCTTGTAAATTACATGCTTGCTATGAAAAAAATCATAATCAAAAAGTTTTCATATGCCTAAATTTGCTTTTGATTGCCGCTGCAGCCGCGAAACCCGGGTCAGCGGTGTATTTAGTTGGGCGGGCCGGGTTCCAGCCTCGGGTAGCTGGATCCCGGCCCCGAGTAGTGACGCTGCCCAGGCTGGGTGAGGTTTGTGACGAAACACGTCGGAATCAGGGAATTTTTTGGGAATCGACCGGCGTTGAGGTGCCCCAACGTCGGAAATCTCGTCACATACCTCAGTAGGCGCATTCCTGGGTCCTTAAGAAACTGATAAGAAATCATAACGTAGAGCACATAAGAATTATGTAAACTTCAATCAACAAAAACTCAAACTATAAATCATTTAAAGTTTCATTTCCTCAAACCTTATGATACCTATCTGCAGATCTCTTACATATCTGTACATATCCAACACAAAACTTAATCTTTTTTCTTTCTAAAGAAATACAGCGCTTCATGGAATTATCGGGTTTTGCGCTGTATGTATGTACATACATCTCACGTTCTTGAGACTCTATACATATAAGTATCATCAAAAGCAAAACTAAAAGGATGAAAACTTCATCCGAATTGATCAATGACTTTGCTTTTACAGAGAAAAAGGAAAAAAGAAGTTAACAAAATTGATGAGGTAGATAGCTCAAGATTTGAAAATACATTTGTAGATATTAGTTTTGAGAGATTTGTTTTTTTAAATGTGCGATATTGGTACATGGTAAAGAGATAGAAAGATATCATAAAACGAAACGATAATGTCAACTGCTTATAATATAAAATAAAGAATTGAAGAAAAAAAATGAAGATGAAGATGAAAATGAAAATGAATTGATAACCGATCTTAAAAAGTGATACTAAAAATACAAACCAAACCCTTAAAGATCCTACAACAATAATTTAATTTTCGAATCCTACTTTTAAAGAATTTTGTGTTTTCTTACATCATAAAACGAGAATAAGAATCCCAAATAGTGGCTGTCACAACAGCTTGATGATTCGGGTGATTGTGTCTAGGATAAGTTGAATGATTAGAAGATACTTGAGAATGATGACTTTTAAAGATCCCTTCAAGATAGGCATGATGTAAATGATCAGGTAAAGTTAAATTGTTATTACGAAACAAAGGATCAACTGTCATAAGTCTATAACGACTAAACATTTAAAAAAAAGAAAAAAAAGAAAAAAGATCAGAAAAGGAAAGAAGTTTAATTATTAGGTTTTGGAAATCAAGAATGATGATAAGAGGAAAAGGAGAAAAAATATCTTACCATACTGGACAACTTGGATTACGTTCAATCCATGGAATTATACAACCTTCGGCATGAAACAAATGGTTACATGATAGTTTGATTAAATCGGATGGATCATTAATAGAATCCATACAAATAGCACAAGTACTTTTAGAAAGTGAGTTCAACTGATTGCCTGAATTTCAGAAAAGAATGTTTGGTCTTGATCAATTAACGGTCAAAACATTTCAAGGGTCTGACATTCTTATGAGAGTTTTCAAGGAGCATGTATGCTAAGGGTAAAACTAAGAAATTATCGATAGCTTATCAAATTGATTTAAAAAAGAAAATCATGGTACACACCTGAGATACTACCCGCTGGGTGGGTATCAGAATATGGGTTATGTCCGAAATGATGGCTTCCACCGGATGTAGCTCGTAAGCTGGCAGGAAAGGTATGCACAAGCGTATCATTAGATGTAACAGTTGTTAAATCTATCCTGGGCTGTTCAAGACGATGATGATTGGGTTGTCGAAAAGAAGACATGATGATGTGAGTAAGGAGCATATAAATAAATAGATAAGAAAGAATAGAATAGATGATTTTTTTTTCCCAAGAAGAAGTGAATAGAAGCAAAGAAGAAGAAGAAAAAGAAAAAGATGGGCACACCAAACTTATGGACGGACTTCCAACTGGTGTGGACAACCTGTGACTATCTTCAAATGACGTGATGAGACTCGGAGTTGCTACCGGTTTAAGTACCGATTCATGCGGTGGGTTCAAAGTAGATAGGCCGGTGTATTGTTGTAAGTCTGACAACTCTCGATCAGATAAAGATTCTCGATGAGATATGAAAGTAGAAGTCAAGCCCCGGAGATCTGTCTCACGCTGAAGGCTAGTTGCGGGGGAAAGCAGATCGGAAGTTGTAGTAGTGATAGTACTACTTAAGACAGGGTGAGAGTGAGAGTGAGAGTGAGAGTTGGACTTGTTGTTAGTCTTGAAGAGATTCCAAATCGTGCTGAAGAGTGAAACGAATTGAAGGTCTAACATTCCAGAATCTGTATTGATGTTCAAAAGATAATCTTGATCTGCATAAGGCTCAGAGGAACCATGTAAATGTAAGAGATCAGGATTAAAAGTAGTCATCGAGCTTGATAACTCGTATTCGAGGAAAGACATGAACCAGTATTGATTCTCTAGAGATAAGATTTCGAGTTAGAAAGATGTCATTGGCAGTGATCAGCTGAGAGATAGATTATCTTTAGAACAAGAAGACTCACATGATTTGATCAGATGAAACAAGTATCTTACGATAAGAACCGGATAACCGTTCTTGCTGATGACCAAGGAAATCGATTGTAGTTGAAGGGTTGAACAGAAAATCACCAATGATGGATTGGCCCATCGAGATTTTAAATTGGGATGGTGTGTTTATGAGTAGAAAGAAAGAAAATGATAAAGTCCTTTGAGAGAATTCATCCAAAGCTTGAAAAAAGGTATTCCCATTTGAGAAGAAGATGAAGATGAAACAAGGGATCAAGTAGTGAACTGATTGATTTGATCGAATTTCATTAAACTCATCATCATTCTCCTAACTGAGTCTGAGAATAGAGTGGGTTTCATTTTACAATTCAATTCGCATCACTTTTGATTGGCTCAAATGTCCAATTCAGATTGACAAATGGTGCACAAGGGGAGTTTGCTAATCGGTCATAAGTAAAGCATTTCAACAAAGTCAACAACCAATTTGTACTTTGATAAACGAATTCTTAGAAACGATGATGTCATTCTATGATTCTTTGTAAGATTGGTTTGTTTGGATAAAGAAAAGTTGAAAGGATTCCAAATTCGATTGACGTAAGAAATGTCACTTACCTGTCACTGATCATCAGCCCTCGAAAACTCAACAACACCGCTCCTGTGATCCGGTGACTCACGGTGGCGGTGCTGAAGTCTTAACACCGGTGAGCCTAACCTGGCGGTGTTCAAATTGATTGAAAGTTACAAATATCATCGACTCGATTTTTCTAACTGTGCTCACTGAGTAGCAATCGATAAAGCTTCGGAACCATAAGCACAGCCAGCTTACACCAGGGGGTAAATCGCACCGCGCGATAACGGTTTTCGGAGCCGCTCAGAAACGTGTGACTTTTAATTCAGTCGTAGCGATTCTGAGACGTTTTCAGCATTTTGGTCACAAAGGCGGTTCCCACCACCGCACGATGCGGTGGAAGGAAACCGCCTTTGTGACCGCTGGTCACGGTTCCACCCACCGTGACCAGCGGTTCCTGGAGCGTTCTTTGAGAAACCGGAGGAACCGCTGGCTCCGGTTGCTCATGCCGTTCCAGGAACGTATTCGAGGTACACACCAAGAAAAGAACAGAACCCCAGGGACTCGAACCCCTGCCTGTGGCCAAAAAAACACTAAACTCAGGGGCATCACTACCCAGATGGACTATAGCAGCCATAGCTACAGGGGAGTCTTGGCCGCTGAAGAAAACAAAAAACAAAACAAAGAAAACTAATCTAAATCTCACTAGTCAGTTAGGATATTAGAAAACACATTAGAATCACAAATCACCACTTATGCCAAACTATGTACTTCAGTTTCAACCACTTATAGTTCAAGTGGAACTTTAAAAGTCTCGGATTTCTTACCTCTTTTCTCAATCAAAACAAATCTTTTGATTTGGTTGATTTCTTTGATTTTCTTTGAATAGCTTCGATTCCTGGTATGAATTCGATAGTAGGAATGATTCAGTCTCGTAGAAGAAGAGATACTTTGATTTTGGCTTCAGTGGCTGGAAGTTGTACTTTTTTACTCTTACTGACAACCTTTAGATGATCAATTGGATTCTGAAATTCGATTTCTTTTATATTCTTGGATTCTTTTTTATTTCTCAAAATCTTATGGCCTTAAGAATCATTTGATTTTGGTTTTTTCATAGATTCTTTATATACTCTATGGTCCCTTTTCTTTCTTCCCATTTACCTTCAGAAGAGCTCAGACTTGCAAACATTTGCAAGTTACCTCAGTCTTGCACACAGGATAGGGGAGACCGCCTTTGGCCCGCGGTGACCGTTTCCACACGGTTACTGTTCAGTTCGACACCGATTTCAGCCGGTGTTGAAGAAACTACCTCACCACCGCATCAGCCACCGTTCTCAAACGGTGGCTGACGGGGGCTCGTTCCTGAACCGTTCGTGGAACGGTGTCCGAAACGGCATCGGCGACACCGGTTCCAGCGGTTCCTGAGCGGTTCTATTCACCGAAACTTTGGGAACGAAACTGGAGCCGGCCGAGGCCGAGGACCATTACCCCCTGGTGTAGCCTTGTATGATGATCGGCGGTGTCTTCATCGTTATAAATAAACAATACATTTCATGGCAAAGCACATAAACCAACATCACTTCATCTTGCGGACTTGCGTATGATATTTTCAATCTTCACTATTACTGTTGTTCCCAAAAAGCTTGCCACATCGACTATTTTTCAGTCGAGCTGGCGGTCCGTGCGCGCTGTCAGAAACAGACAAGAGAAGCGATCACGCAAGAGGAAAAGAACCTCCCTGTCACAAAATTCCATACTCGAGAGAGAGAGGGTCAGGGAACCCTCTTTTTGAACAAAATGGCAGATCTGTTTTGAAAGCTGGGCAGAGCCATCTTCCACCAGCACCATCCAAGAATTGCACTCGACCGCTCAAAACATCCATAACTTTTTCAAACCATCAATTTCTGAATTTGCCGCCATAGCTGGGCTTCAACCGGAACACAAACTATCCGTCAACTCCGATACAATGAAAAGGACCATAACTCACTTTTTTGATATCTTTTTTCTCCAGATATTTGTGTACATCTTCAACCAATCGGATGTCATCAACTCACTTCTTTTTTTTTCATCTTCAACCAATTGGACACGGCGATTTGTAGTCTTCTTTTGGTCATCAACTTGCTTCTTTGATTGATATCTTAATTTTTTTCAAAGCTCGGTTGTAACAAGTGATGGATAGAAAAGAAACAAACAAGATCTCAATTTCAATAAAGTGAATCAAATCAAACAGATAACAAACTGAGCTAATTGATGTTCTTTCCAACTAAGGTCGAGTTCTTTTCAAGCGACGTCCATGTCTCGTGTTCAAGAAATCACAAGACATGGACAAGTCTCTTTTCAAAAAGTCAGAGAGGTCATCAAATTTGTTTTCTGAAAGGTTTAGCGATCAATTCGGCATCAATTTTTGGACCGAATCGAGGACACCTAAGCAGAAATTAACTCTCAGCAAGAGAGACAAAGGTTTATGATCATGTTTCAGAGTAGATAAAAAGGTTAAAGCACCAATTGATTGAAGCACTTGATTTGATTCAAGTCAATTGCTTCAAATTTTTATTTGGGGGTTGATCGGTTCAATTGGCACCAATCAAATAATGTGGAAAACAAACATCAATCCCATTTATTTCATTTTAGCAGTCTATGTATGTACTAAAGTACAAAACAAACTTGCTTGAAGTGTTAGTGATGCTGTTTATGCATCTCGACTGACTTAAGTAAAAGAGACAATCATAATTTCATTGATTGGTTGTAATGAACTAAAGACAAAAGGAAAAAAAGGTTTTGAAAAGCGAGTTTTGAGTCAAAGGTCCACAATTTGGCGGTGACGAGGATTCTCGTCGTCAACACGCAAACCCCGCCGCAGCGCGCCGCGTTTTGGGCCTGCTGAGACCGCGCCGGGATCTATCCCAGTGGCTACGTAGCCCACCGCAGCGCTTACCCCAGTGCGAAAAAAAATTCTGGGAGCGCGGCGCGCCATAATGGGCCCCAGCGCGCCGCAGTGCGCTGAAAACGGATTGATCTCACTTCTCCATACGAACAAAGACTAACTTGTATATAGATTTCACTATAAAGACTAACAAATATTTTGATTTCACAATTGTAGTAGCATAATTTTAAACCATGTAAATGGTTAATCTAAAATCTCGATTGCCACCCTTTTTCTCTTCTTACTCTGATCCTGCACGTATGTATTAATGTATTTGATAGCGTCCCCATAGTCACCACCTGGGTCCACCCCATCCTTGGTCCATTCGCGTGAACAGACGGACCTGGTAATCGTTGATGGAACCAAACCGCCCCGATCTTGCGAGCAGACATCAGCTGCACCAGAGAACACACGTTCCGCCGCGCAAGTGGTACCTGATACTGCAAGGTAGTCCCTTGCCAAGTTTGAGAGTACAGGAAACACTACCTGGTTTTCCTTGAGAAGACAAATAGTTTAGTTACAAGGCAAAGATGAAGGGTGTTTGGCTTTCTAGACTCACATTCCACCAATCTAACTCAGTCTTTGATTTGTTGAATTCTTGCTGACCCATCAAGTAAGATTCAAGTTCAGCTTCATGAGCTGTCTGGGTAGGATTCAAATTGGCGCCGGCTGTGAAGTCATTGAAATCGTCGTCGTCGTCGACTGGGACAGGTGGGGTATTTGAAGGATCGTTGGCTGATTGTTGCTTGGCTGATTCCAGTGCCGATGCAAACTCCTTGGTGATTAAGGAGGACACATGTTCCTTACGTTCAGGATAAAACTTTTGAAAAAATGCCAGTCGGTATCGAGGGTGCATAACCGTGGAAAGTAGCAATGCATCACATTCAAGTGCCTCTGTGAGATAAAGATTCAGCTGATTCAACATAACTCCAATCATGTCGTCGAGGGGTTTTGACTTTGTTTTGCTGCGAGAGTTGACGAGAGCTTTTTTGATTCGGTTGTATTCCACGAGGACCATTGAACCAGAAGGGAAATCCCCCTCCATGCGTTTGGTACCTACAGCAAAAATCTGCAAAACAAGATGTCAATGTGATGCTTTCTACTGAGGAAGGAAACGACAAACCTCTAATATGCCATTCAGAGCTTCAATCGCTTCCCATTCATCAGCGTGAATGAGGGTGCCTTTGAAAAACTTTGTCTTCTTGCGATCAGTCGCGAGCATCTTGTTCACGACCTGGGGAGGATAGCAATGAGAGAAAGATAACAATAGATGGCAGAAGATGACTCACATCTTGGGCAGCACACATCCGAGATCGTGAGTTGTAAATCATGTTCCAGCGTATTCCGTATCCTGCAATGGGGGTCCAATGATCCAGTCCAGCTTGCTTGCAAAGACCTCGGAATTCTTGGCGACGCGAATGAGATCCTGCTATCTTTTTGCTGACAAAATCGACCTGATTTAGAAGTCCAGGTAGGTCAGCTTGGGTACTATCGGCCAGGTCAAGTAGCTCGTGAGTTTACCTTTTGAACTGCGGTGGCGAAAACGTTTGCCTCGTGCTGAATAGCTATTTCCTCGGCTAACGTGTTGAGGTCTTCATCTTCTTCAGAGGCAGCACCTTCTTCTTTGTCTTCAAGTGATTCATCTTCATCATCATCATCGGATTCGATTTCGACTTCTTCGTCCCCGTCATTAAGCTGGAAGGTAGGAATAGGAATGGCCACGTTGGCATCAGTGGTGGGCTTCGAATGTCCGGACTGGATTGAAAGCGATTTCAATCCAGCTTTCACCACTAATGCCAACTTGTGGCAGTAACATCTTGCATGCATCTTAGCGCTATCCCAATCTACCGATTGATCTGCTGCACCAAACATGACTTCCATTTCTGAAGCCATCGTGTTGTTGTTTGATCCGGAGTCGGTTGTCTGGCCAAGAACGTGGATATATAATTAAAAATCAGTTTGATTTTTTAACATCAATGATAAAAAAAAACTTATCTTGCTGTGTAGGTTGTGACGGATCAGATATCTCGCCACAGGTCGAGCCAAAAGGGCACCGTAATGATTCCATGCCACCATCTTGAGGGTTAATAGAACTTTCTGATAGGTGAAATTCGAGTCAATGTAAGTGGCAATCAATGCGATGAACGCATATCGATTACCACGGGTGGTCCATACATCGTGGATTAACCAAATCCGACTGGTGTTTTGCTGTACAATCAAAGGTAAGCTTTGTGATAGTAAAGAATAAAAAAAACATTAATAGAAATAGAAAAGGCTTACCGCGAGTTTCCTTAGCACTTCCGAATGAAGTGATTTGTAAAATCTCTTTGCGGTTTGAGCTGCCCAAGTAGGTGATCTCACGTCAGCAGATGTATTCGCCAAATGAAAGGCGCCTCTGAGCATCGTGTCAGAAAAACGTCTCCAGGCCAGAGCGTGTCGGACTACCCATATCACCAAGATGATATTCAGCATCTCAACAGTGAAAATCGGTCGGTCAATAAAGGCTTGCATAATCTTCCCGCTGCCTGTCTTCGATTGTTTGGCTTTCTGCAATTGTTGATAAGTTGCAGGGAGCTTCATACCAGACTTAATTGCTTTGTTACGACCCGAGCAAGGTTTTCGATTCTTATCGCCATCTCGATGTGCATAGAGGTTATCGTTTGATTTGAGACCTCGGGTGTAATACTCGCCACACCAGTTGCAAGGATAGGAACGTTTGAAAGTGCCAGTCTACAGAAGGTGAAGGGCAGGCTGTTAGAAAAAGAGTCAATCAAAAACACAAACGGAAATGGCAAACCTCGCCGTCCTTGTGCTTGGGATTTCCGAAGTACCGAAGAAGCTCAACAACGTCGCCCTTACGACCAGGCCGGCTATCTTCGTTTTCATCTCCTGATGAATCTTGGTCAACATCGATTACAACAGGAACATCTTCCTGGTCTTTCCCCTGACACAACATCAAACAAAGTAATCGAAGTTAACATATTGAATTAGACACTTTGATGTAATCGGTTAGAGAGGAACAGTGAATACGCACTTGTTTCTTGGGGGCAGTTTTTTTCTTCTTACTGACCGTCTGACTGTTACTACTGGTAGCAGTCCCAGCATCCTCTCGAACTCGTTTCTTGGACACTGCAGCAACCTTGGGGGATTCGGTCGTGGGGCTAGTTGCGCTTGAATGACGAGCTGGGGTGTTTGTAGGGCGAGATGAGGGGTTCTCGCTGTTGTTTGTGAGCCTACGACGTGAATCTGAACCGGTGAACACAAAACCTGGAGAAGGTTGCTGTGGAGAACGGGTCCGGAGCTGACGAGCTGGGGTGGATGGTGGAATCCTGAGTGTGGCACCTGAAGATTGAGGGGTGGACGAATGAGAGGTCATATTGTCTATCAATTCTGATACTTGATCGGACTTGATACTAATAGTGTAAGTGAAAAGAAAAAGTAAAAACGATTCAAGATAAAGGGGAAGTTGAACTGGAGGGTGATCGAAAAGAAATTTGTTTGTGAGATGGGTTTGGGCGTGTTCCAACAAGAAGTGAGTGGAAATCGGGAATGGGATGTAACGAGACAACAGCCACTGTGGAATCGATCTATTAGTACTGATGAGAAGTGAGGTAGTATGATAAAAAAAACTTACTGTCACCCTGAATTGATCCATCTTTGAATTCCTTCCCAATCTGGAAGGAATGTTGACAAATGGCTGCTGAGATCGAAGGAAGGAGTTGAGCTAGGACTGTCGAGGGGTCTTAGAGGACAGACTGAGCCCCTTACTGCACCCCAGTCCTCCCACTGGGGTCCCGGAAATCGGACAGCGGCGGGGTCGGACCGCAGGAAAACCATGCAACGGCGGGGTACGACCCCCGTGAGCTTTCTTTGAACTGAGGGCCCGGAGGGACCGCAGCGCTACCCCCGCGGTGCCTCAGTTTACGGCGGCGGGGTTTGCGTGTTGTCGTCGATGATGTATCTACCGTTTATAAGATTCATTTTTTTTGATGAAAATCACTTGAAGTTTAAAGATGTTTTTGAAAAAGTTATGAATGTTTTGAGCGGTCAAGTGCAATTCTTGGATGGTGCTGGTGGAAGATGGCTCTGCCCAGCTTTCAAAACAGAATTGCCATTTTGTTCAAAAAGAGGGTTCCCTGACCCTCTCTCTCTCGAGTATGGAATTTTGTGACAGGGAGGTTCTTTTCCTCTTGCGTGATCGCTTCTCTTGTCTGTCTCTGACAGCGCGCACGGACCGCCAGCTCGACTGAAAAATAGTCGATGTGGCAAGCTTTTTGGGAACGACAGTAAAACAACATAAAAATCACAGCCCATCACCGCTAAAATCTAATTATATATCATCGCAAGCTATGCAAGCCTTTGCAAGGATCACGTTTAAAGGTTTGAGCGCATTGGTGCGCCGGAGTTCTGGCCTCAGAGTGCGCGGGTGCGAGGCGTACATACGGAGATTTTTGACCTTGAAGGGCACGTTTGGGCCCTTTGAGTATCCACAGTGGCGGCCCCCAAATTGGGGCTACTGCTAAATATAGCAATAGGGGTTCTGATTTGTACTGCAGTGGCAGCCCCTATAATTAACCAAATATTGAGCTTCTGTCACCAACTTTGACTGGATAGCAGCAAGCCCCAAAATCAGGCTCCTTGTCCTTTACCATTTACAAAAGTTTGTACCTTTTGAAAGGTACAAAATTTCCAACCCCTGGAAGTCAATATTGTTTTAAGTTGAAATTCACAAAAAGCTGTAATTTGTTTGGCAACCAAAAACTAGTTGACCATTTGAACTCTTCAACTTTGAATTCTTCTTCTTTTCATTTCTTGTTCCAGAACCAACAATTGCTTAACTTTTTTTACTTAAGACTCTTCTTTTCTAGAGAATCAATCAATCCTTGAATTGTTATGATTAAATTTACAAACTTTCCACAAAAAAACCCATAGAAAATTGTTTGTCTTGCCAAATCAAATGTGTTTGGCTGGGTGTTATTGATTTGATGTACCTGAAATTCAAGTGCATTTTGTTGGTACAAAATGTCTTCTTTCAATTTTTCTCCTTTCTTTTCCATTTTTTTAATCAACATACCTTATACTGCATTTCACATTTGGCAAAAGTTGATTAAATCTGACCAACTTTGATCATCATAACCTCTGTTGACCATCATCCTAACATTAACACCACCATTCTGAAACCATGTTGGACTCTGATTTCTTGTCTGACAAAGATCAATTAACATCTTTGTCCTTGTCATCATCAGCTTCATCAGACCACAATGACACAATGATGGAGCTTCTCATGGGTTCTGCTCAAGACTGTATCAAGTTAGCAAATCATCCAAAGCTTCTGTGTCAAACATCAGCACTTACAGGTGCTATGTATGCACATCAGGTTCATGAAGAAATCCCAGTAAGCATTCAAGAAGTATGTCAAATGAACAAAGTGGCTTTTCATGGTCTATTGAGACACCTTAAAGGACATCTTGAGGATCCAAACCACATCACTGTCCTTGAACAAATGACAATCTTTTGTTTCATTTTTGAGCACACTTGCACAGATGCCCTTGCCTCAGAGGGTTTCAACATTCTGGCAAAACAATCTCAAGATAGTACAATAAAGTCATCTTGGCTCTCAAGGATCTAGAGTCTTGCTTGATCATCCAGCCCAATCTGCAAACTCCAATCCCATAGTCTATTGTTAGCACTCCAATAATTTATCACTGTTTTCAAGGATGTCTTGGAGCTATAGACAGAACTCACATTGCGGCCATTTTCAAGGCCAAACAGGATCATCATAACATTTAATCCCAGAGACGGTTCGCTTACAAAACTCGACAAAATCCACCATTAGCGTGATATTCGAGTTTTGTCCACGGTCAGAAACCCGTCTTTGTGCATCACTTTGCATTCACTATCATGATCATTGCCAATCCCAATCACAATCCAGCGGATCTCCAAATGTATGTATCTCCCTTGCCAAAACTCAACGCAAGTTACTCTCCAGTTGCTTGAGAATGACATGTGATTATTTGCCAATCAAGGGGGAACGGAACCTCAGCAGATCCAATGACTCTACCCTTACCAACAGCAATAGGAGAAAGATTAAGATCAGATGACGGAATTGACACCACCACCATCACATATACAAAATCAAACAATCATATTGGATTGTAGTCAGTTTTATTTCTTCAATCTGATTCTTTCCCGGACATAACTGAGGACCCTGGAATACCCCTACCGAGGGTACTGACGAAAAAGGTAGGATTTTGCCCGATTTTTTGCAGTAGGTTACTGACGAAAAAGGTAGTTTTTTGAAAATTTTTCAAGAGGGGTACTGACTAAAAAGGTAGGATTTAGTGAAGTTTATTGATCTCGAGAGTCGACAGTGGCTCAATAGTCAAAGCTGTCAAATCTTATGAAATGCATTAGTTCAGAAAGCGACAACAGGACAGAACTGACAGAAGCTAGAAGCTCTTCCAAATCACTACATCTTACAATTTGAAATTGTACAATATTGTGCGACTTTAGACTATTGATGTATCTATAGTATTGATTAGTTCCCATTTATGTAATAGACTGTAATAGTTCTCTGTTCACATGCTTCTTGTTACTCTTCTCCCTCAAGTGATCTTGGAACTTGTCTTGTTTTGATTTTTTCAGATTATCGTTTTTTGCTCTCCTATCTAGCCTCAAAAATGGTCAAAAGAACTTTAGAATCAGCGGCAGGAACATCTAATGACATAGATGAAATCATTGTAATTGAAGATGAGTCCGAAAAGGATGGGTCCGAAAAGGATGAATGCGGAAAGGATGAAAGCAAAAAGAATTCATCCAAAATCATTATCATTGAAGATGAATCTGAGAAGGATGAATGCGAAAAGCAAACCAAGAAGACTTGCGGTAAGACACCTCAAAAGGATGTCATCGCATTGTGTCCGTTGTCTAAGCCAAACACTCCTTGTACTCATTGCAAGATAACGGAAACTGTTTTGCACAAAACACTCCATTGCCACTGTGGAAGCAAGATTGTGTTAATCAAGGGGCGTGTGCAATCTGCGCTAGAGCACTGGGAAAACAGTAAGTATGGGTCTCTTTTTAAGACAATATTGATGTAGACTAATTCAGTTTTGTTTTTCTATCAGAAAAATGTACGAATAGAACAAATACGATCCGTTCCAATGCTAGCCTCTCATCTTGGGTGACTACAACCACGATTAAAAAAAACGCTGTACAAAAGCCTTGTGCTGGTCTGAATGATCAAACCTGGAAACGACCCACCGCCAAATTTTGTATTGAGAACTGTATCAAGCACTCACCTACGCCTTACCACGGGGTGAAGCAATGGAAAGTCTGTTTTCGCCTTTTTAAAACTACTCACGAAATCTTGCTGTCGGACGAGCAGCGCAAACAACTCCACGCCACTCTAGAATCCGAGGCAACGTGGTTGATCAAGCGGCATGGAAATCAGGAATCAATACACTCACCTAAATGTACTCGAACAGTCATGACCACCAAAAGTATTTCACTTCCTGTCTGTAACGAATGTGAGGAATTGAAGCATCTTCAAAGCCTCATCTCAGCTCTTAATGTGTCATACACAACTGAAGAGAAGATCAAGTACATTGCAAAGATCTTTATGACAGGTGACCAATTTCAAGCAGTTTTAATCAAACATGCCGAGCTTCAAGTCCTTCAGAAGTCGCTTGAAAAAACATCTAAAAAAGGTGATGAAGAATTCTGGAATGCTATTGGTGTATACGGAAAAGCCGGCTTGTTCAAGAATCAAGAGGTTGTCCGTGGTCTGATGATGGCGGTGGGTGTGCGAGCAGAACGTGAATCAAATGGCAAGTCGATGCGTGGTCGTTGATTTGATTTTTACTTCAACAACTTCCTCACAACTTTGGCAGCCATCAGCCCTCAAGCTCTTAGGCTTTTCAACGACAACTTTGCTGGTCGTGGGGCCCGCAGCATGCGTCAAATCCGAAAGCTCCAAGGTATGCAACTCAAAGATGGTCTACACCCGAATAACTTCAAGAGACTCGCAGATATACTAGCTGAGCTCGACTATACCGGACCAGTTACTGCAGCAACTGATGAGACTGTTTGTGTAAAGGCTATGCGTCATTACAATGGCTACTTAGTAGGAGCACAAGGCGGTGATATTCCTTTTAGTGACGGTGATGAAATTGAGCGTTTGGTGAAGTCGGCAGTCACCAATAATCAACTCTGCTCCAAAGTATGTCCCCTTATTATTTTTACCCTTTCTTTCGGAGTAAACTTACACACATTTGATTGTCTTCAGATACAAGCGTATACTATTCAGATTCCCTTACCCAATATGTCAACATATGTAGTTGCGATAATAGCAAGTCGTAGCCAAGATAAAGCCAAAGACCTGGTTGAACAACATCTCGAGTTCATCAAAAATTGTCAAGAAAGTGGCATTCACCTCCTTTCACTTGGATCAGATGGGGCAGCTACAGAGTTGGCTGCTCAAGAGCAACTTATTGATTCTAGAACAAGCTATCTTACATATACAAATGAAGATCTAGAGGTCTACGTTCGAGTCCCTCTTTTTGGCGATGAATCACGTCCGATTGTAATGATTCAAGATCCAAAACATGCTCGGAAGACGGCAGCAAATCAACCACTGTCTGGTGCTTGTGTAATCTCTTTTGGCCGATTCCATGTTGACATTCAACAGTTGGCTGTCTTACTTGAAGACGCAGGTAGTCCGCTTTACAAGCGTGATGTATTTGACTGTGATTGGCAGGACGATGGTCGCACATATCGTATGTTCTCAGCAAAAACACTGGAAGCAGCTCTTAAGCGTGAAGAGTGCATCGGATTATCAGTCTATCTGTTTGTTTTTGGAGAGATGGCAGATGCATGGCTCAATCAAAGCATAGGACATCGACAACGTCTCCGTTCAAGCTGGACAGCCGAGTTTTTCCTCCGTATCTGGAGAAACTACCTCCTCAAGCGACAAGATCAACCAAACTCACTGATGAGTCTATCCGCAAATGGGATTTCGCCTCAAAGCTTAAAAATCTTTCCAACTATGGCAAGCCGTCTACTTGGACTCGTCATTTCACACCAAAGATACTACTCTGATGTACCGTTGATGCCCTGGAAACACGGAACCGAGCCAATTGAGCATGTTTTTGGATGGATGCGCGTGATATCGCCAAATTTCACAGTCCTTGATGCTAGACAGATGGTCCGAAAACTCCATGCTGTGGTTAAAAGCGTTATGAGCGGAATCATCAAAATATCAAAATCAGAACATTTACATTCTGGTAAGACAATTTTGGATTTTAATTTCAAAAACGTTGCTAATTGGATTTCCACTATAGGCTATGAATTTGCTTTTGCCGATGAACCGGATTCTGAACACATCGATAGACTCCGTTACTTTCCCACTGACCAGGAGATCACGTACGACTTGACTGTGGCTAAGAAGAGAGCCATAAGTTTGGCCACTTTTGTTGGAATGCATGATGCTTCCATTGTTGATACTCCTGTTACGTTATCTGAAAACCAAGTCGCAGAAGGTAAGTCTAGCATCCATCGTGCGTAAACAGCTTGATTGAACACTCTCTGACATTAACTATCTCAAAGACATCTCAACTTGCATGGCTGGAAGCTATGATGTTGTGTATAATCTCGGTCCGAAAGATTCTTTTGAAGAGGCTGTGGCCGCCGCCGCAGAGGCTACAGATGAACAGCAGCGAACCGATGATCTTCTCTCTACTATACCAGAAGATATCGATCAACAGATATTCAACAACGCCGCTATGTCTTTGTCAACACTCGTTGGTCCCAATGATTCAAGCTTGTCTGCAGCACGCAGTGAAGCTGCACTGGCTGACTTGGCCGGAGCTGACCACAATATCAATACATTAGTATTGAACAATCAAGATGGCATGATACTAGAAGAAACTAAGTTACTTCAGCTACGAGTTGCCCACGACAGTCAGGTTCAAAAGCATCAGGGAAACGAACGGGAAAAGATTGATATCAACGACTTACGCAAGTCACCAGGAGAAGCTTTGAAGCCCAGCGAGTGTAGCAAGCTCGTCGCCGTTGTAATGAGGAATGCTGAAGCTGCACCCACCGGTCTTTCACAAATCCATCGATGGAACATGAACGTGAAGCTCAACCTCTTGCATCGTTATCAAAATACCTCGACTCATCTTGACTTACCCTTTCAAGCCACTCTCACAGGTGGTGGAATCACCACCGAAAATCCAATTGAAATGGGCAAGTTTGTAGTTTTGATCAAGAACACTGTAAGTACTACATAAAATTGAAAGCGTTTAAATGACCAAACTGACATTGCATATGGCTGGTAGAAACTCTATCTTGGAAAAGTTCTAGCAGTATACGTTTACAAAAACAAAAAGCACGCTTGGGTCAAAAGCGCCAAGACTCGAGAAGAGCTCTCATACATTTCAGTTCAAATTCTTAACCACAACCCACTGTGATATCCTAAATCGGACCTTTCCCTTTGTTTCCTCTCAAGATGCGCTTTCGCGCTTTTCTACTTTTGTACTTTTTATATTCCTTTTCCACAAATGGCTATCTGCGATTCCTGAACAACGGATCTTATCAGATCCATCCCGATCATGGAGAATCCGACAACACTGGATTCGGCCAATCTCTCTTCTCTCATTGTCTTGTATCAGCGTGATCTCCGATCACTCCATGTTGTACCACTTCCCAGTAATTTCCTCATCCATCCATCAGTACAAGATGCTCGTCTATATAAAGACCTCGCATCTCCCTAGTAATCCAATCCCTAAGTTACTTCCTGCTTACAAACCGTACCCAAACTTTGTGAGTAGATCACACCACATACTCCATTAGCCACAGCAGCTGAGACACTGACTGCAGATGAGTGGACTTTCTCTCGAGTAGAAGCATCACATATAGTATATGTTTTCCTACCATCGCGAGGCTCTACCTTTTCTTACATAGGCGAAGGTTCTTATTCTGTCCCTCTTGTTCTACGTCGCTTTATCATTTCTATTGATAACCCAAAGTTTATTGGAGCATTTGAAGCCCAGTTGAAAACTTCGAAAAGCGCCCAGACAGAAGACTTAGAAGAGCAATAGTCATCAAAGAATTTAGTTTCTTATCGTTTGTCAATGATTCTTTTTTATTTAAATGTTGTTCATCGATTCTTCCAGTGTGTGTGGTCAAACAGACCTGTTGTTACAAAGAAATATAGTCATAGTGGGCCTTTTTCACCCCTCTCCGGGCTATTTTTTGAGAAATACCCGATTGGCGCCGAATTTTTTTTTACCGAAATGGTACTGACCAAAAAGGTAGGATTTCGAGATTTTTTCAAAAGTTTACCACGAAAAGGTAGGATTTTTGGTCAGTACCCTCTGTAGGGGTATTCCCGGGTCCTCCTTGTAACTGATGTCTTCTTTGTCGTCATCGTTCCAGTTATACAGAAGGTATGTCCTTTCGAGAAACATCAACAACAACCGAATTTGAATCCAATTGATCTAAACTCTTGAATAATCAAAAGAACCAACTAGCTATGACATCAGAAGTCGTCAATAGACAAAGTCAATCATCATGAAACTTAAAGACAAAATGAATCATTATAACTACTAAAACTTTTGATTAGATAGGAACAAGAAATGAATATTTCAAGGTATTAGATCAATTCAAATGTGATCTTCATAAATTTCTCCAAATCAAAATCAAACAATCTAATGAAATCGAAAAAAAATTAACAAAAACTGAATTAACTCAAACCATTCAATTTATGGTCAATCATCAAAGAGATTGTAAGTTGATTCTTACAAATTCATATATTCATCAAACAAGCAAATCCAACAAAACAAATTGATCATGACTATTTGAATTTGAATTTAGATAGTAGGATTAAGATATTTGATCGGACAAACTTCAATCATACCACCCACTCTAAACCTTTTAAAAACATTATTAAACAAATCAACATTCAAACCAAGTAATGAGATCATTGAAGCCATAGAACAACCAATGAGCGTGATCGGGAATTTAGTTCATAGTCATGGTACCAAATTCCATCACTTTCTGTGCAAAACCATTGGATCATTTTCTTTGAAATCCTCATCCAATGTTCTCTTTTTTGATTTTTCTTTCAGGTCTCATTGAATCGAAATCGTTATCACATCAATCTGCCACAACTTTCAACGATTTGATTCATTTATCTTATTTTACTACTTTAAGTTTAGTTGATTCAATTCAACCTAATATCATCGTCTTCAAAACATTATTACTGTCCTTTGCAATTCAAGTTTCAAATATGGTATGTACATCAGTTTCTGCACGTAATCGCCTTCATCACTTCTTGATCATCTCAATTAAGCTGATTGTACTGGACTCCAACATCCCAAATTCCAAGGTCTCCAAAACTAGCTCTATGCCATTCACAAGGAGAATGGAGAATCTTACAATCAAGGTATCCAGCCCGTCTTTGATGCATTGGAAGCCCGCCATTTCGATTCAGCCTGGAACTGGGTTCGTCAGACTGCTTTAGAGATATTTTTTGACATGTAAGTTGCTTTTCTTCTGAACTCACGCGATCTCAGCTGAGCTCACGTATCTCTGATTTGCAGGGCCGTCTGCAAACTGTTGATTGGGACATCACTGCCAAAGTGAGATTTCAATCTGTTGTGATGTCAATCTTTAGCTGATCGGGTTCACATCCTTAGTGTTTGGTGATCATGAAACGAGCCTACTCAGCTTTGGTAGAATACATGCGATATCATCTCGACAATACTTACGCGTCTATTCAATCCTCTTCAAAACCAACTCTGATTTCATCTCTGTAAAGCTCGATCTTCAGCAATCATCTGTACAGATCGAGTTGCTTATGCAGAACAAATTTACTATTGATATTTATTATCAGAAGCCAAAAACAAAATTAGTATACTTACTGCTTTAAGGATTTTAGATCTTCCAATTGATAGGAATACATTACCTCATGAGTGAATATTATGAATTCTAATCCATTTTTTTTGGCTAATCTACCAGATTTATCTGTTAGTTAAAAAGTATACATTTCTAGAAGGTTAGTCATTCATCCTTTTCTTCTTTGATTCTTTTTGATACGATTTTTTTGATCGATTTTTGATGAGTTTTCCTCCTTTTTCTTTTTTACGGTTTGGTTAGTATAGAGCAAGATACATTTCATCAGCCAACACATGAAGTGAATCAAAAAGTCTCATTTCGAATTGACAGAGAGACCGAACCAGACACTTGGGGCTTCATATCCCATAGAATCACAACCTACTCGTCCGAGCCCATTACCAATACCCTGCCACCATCATCAACTTAACCAGATGCAAAGAAGACGAGTCGGAGACAATCTCAATGAACCACTTGGCATAATCAGATTCACAAACAGATCAAGTCGCTAGGCTCCTTATCCTTGAAGGTAATTAGTGAAAGACCAACCAAATCCTTCAAAAGTAGCACATCAAACAAGTTGTGACAGTCTTCAACAGGCCTATCCTCTTGGTAGGTGCGAGTGTATCTGATGGTTGTTACTATCATTCAAAATATCAAGCCACTAAGCGTGACTTTATCCATCCAGGTTAGATTTCTTCACAAAGCTTGATCAGGTTTAACTGATGAAGATTATGTTTTTGGACTTTGTAAAGATACTTGATGGATTTGGAGGTCTTACAATGGTCTGTAATGTCAATTTATTGACATCTGTCCCATCAATCTGCTCAAGTCGAAACATTTTGGAAGAACAGGCTGGCTTAAGCTATGTCTACCTCATGAACGTCAACTCCCTCTTATCAGATCTGCTGTAGGAAGAGTGAGGACTCAATCTGCTTGTGGCGCTTAAGCGGCGACAGCCGGTTCTCCTGTTACCAGTACTTGATCAACCATGCAATCCAAGCTAAAACTCACAATCCACCCCCGGGAGTGATTCATCTCCACAGTACCCTCCAATCAAGTCAGTTTGGTCTGCGAGGATATTGAACATACTTCTGAATACATTCCAGCTGTCAGGGGAGCTAATTTATTGTCAAACATCACATCCAAACTACATTCATTATCATGGAATTTCAATCGGTCAAAACATAATCCACCCGCTCAAATTGCTACAATCTCAACAACACCTGTGGATTGCTCATATCACTTTTAAGGATCACCATTCAACATACAAAAGACACCAATCACCATCAATTGATTAGACCAAACAAGTTCTCTCATTGCCAATTCTCTTCTAATTAAACTCGTCAATACCCAGCATCAAACCTTACATAGAATCTTTGATTTCTCAACATTCCAATCCAATTCAAAACTACTCAATCCCATCAGAACATCAAATTGAATATTCACTTAATCTAATTAACCCATCAAAACTTTAACACCAATGATATCATCATCATGCCATCATCAAAGGAAATTAAAATATGTGTGTTTCCAGTTGGTGAGTATTTGGATTCATTGTAAGACTTTGTGGTTGATTTTGAATTGTTTGGGTCTGATGACTTTCTTCTTTCTGGCAGTGACTTAGACATACAATTGAAACAACATGTAAAAGAAAATCATACATATCATGAATGTGAGTAGTCTATTTGTACATAGATTAGCTGGAGAAGATCAGATGTATTACTTGTTAGTTCATATGGATTGATCGAATCAGATTCAAGCAAATTCAAATCAACACTTCAATTGGCTTCCAATTTTACATTTCCAAAAATTAACCAATCGACAAGCAAAAAAATTGTGAGAATCACGATTTTTTTGGATGAGGGCCTCTCTTGACATCATTTGACTTCAACAGCTTGATATTGAAATGTAGGCACTGATAAAATCATCAAATCTGTCCTTACAATATCAATCAATCCTTTTTAGTATCTATGAAACACAATGATCCCATTGCATTTATGTATTATCAAGTTCAAATGTTATAAAGCTATCTCTTTGTTAATCAACTTTGTTTTAAATCTGAACCCACCAATCAAACCCATTTCAAGATGAGAGAAAAAGGCAAGCGTGAAAAAAACAAATCATCTCCCAAACAGTATCAGCACATTCAAGACATCAATGCCCCATTAAAATTTAGAGTTCAGAGTCACAATCAGACAAATGAATGTCAAATCAATATAAATTTTGAACTTGTCATCATTATTGACTTGATGTATTAGCCATCAAAGCAAATTCAGCTCTAGAACTTGTTGCCACAATTGATCAAATCTATGAAGATGATATGCTCATCCATGTCACAGAGACAGTTGAGATGACATGTACCTTTCATATTGGATGAATACAGGAACCCCACATGAACTGATTGCTTGAAGTTACTTCCAATCCTTTTTAGATACATGTTTGTTGTGTTTAACATGTCTTTTTGTGTGCTACTGATGCGTGAAACCGGATATCTCATGTAACAAACATGTCAGTAGCAAGATGGTCAACAACAGCAACCTCAAACTTGTGGCATCTAGCTTGAGGATGTGTAGACAAACAGTTACAGTGATCTAACAAAAATGGTGCAAATGATTGTTTTCAAAGGATCCCTTGGTTTGTTTTCAGGCTTAAGTGATTGAATTGATGCAAGAGACTTGAGTTGATCATTTCACTGATCTCATTCTTTTGCTTTCAAGTTGTGAGTGATTTAATTGAGGCGCGCTGAAGTTTATGATTGAACTGATTCATTCTATCTCTGCAAACTTCATACAATCAAGAAAAGGCTTACCATTGTGATTCCATCAGCACTATAAAAGGGAGAAGGATCATTCAACATGTGCCATCATGTTATGCCAAGTTTATCATATCTAAACTACACATCATCCCTGATGAGTCAAACTCATGCCATCTCATATTCAAGCAAAGCCAAATAGAGTAATACTGATCAATCTCTTTACCTCTAAAAGATATATGTCTCTTCAAGTGGTGCTCAGGGTATAGGAGGAATAGTACCCAACATCTTCCAATAGTTGGTCATCCAATTTTTATGTACCCTAAATCCAAATTTCCATTGTCTAATAATTGATAAAGAAAAGAATCTGATAGAAAGAAACAACACTCTATTTATACGGATATCAAAGGTAAAAACATAAATAAAAAAGTAACTCAGGTCACACACAACCTATTCCCGATAAAGCACATATAACACATCAAATCATAATCATCTAAACCCAATGCATACTAAATGAGTGATTCTAGAACTTGGTGATCTTGAAGCAACCTTGAAGCGGTGTAACTTTGATGCAGAAGTACCAGAAGTCCTCAACGCTTTGAGTAGACTTGGAGACGAGTAAGCTAACGCACACATAAGGAATAAAAGAAAAAGAAACAATACCAGATTGAACACACACAATACACGCACACACAATCATCAAGCTACAAACAGGGATGATGAATACCAGAACAGATGATTTAGCCAATATCACTTTTTTGTTGCTTGATGCCGTTTGCCTTGATGCATTGTTTTCTTATGTCACTTGATATGCATGCCTCAGGATCTGTGGTTGAATGTCCGATTGGCTAAGTTGTTTCTGTATCTTTGCAGTGTAATTGCCTCTGATTTCATCTTATTTTGATATGATTGTTTTGTTTGGCTTTAATACCAGATTGTGGCCTATTTGAGTTGTACTTTTCTCTGTTCCAAGCTGTATTTCATGGCTTTGGGTTGACAACAGCGGCGCCCGCCGCTAAAATGCTAGTGATAGTATATTGACAGTAGTTGATAGATTGACCAAAATGGCGCACTTTCTCCCCTGTAGAAAAAGTATGGATTCAGACGAGTTAGCAAACATCATGATTAGAGAAGTATGGCGACTGCACGGAACCCCAAATCCAATAACCTCGGACAGAGGAAACGTATTTATTCCACAAATCACAAAGGACTTCAACAAACGTCTAGGGATCAAGATTCAATCTTCAGCAGTGTACCACCCGCAAACAGATGGCCAAACCAAAATCACAAATAAGGCAGTGGAGCAATTCATAAGACATTTCGCTTCTTACAAACAAGATAACTGGTATGACTTACTCCCGTTTGCTGAATTCTCATATAACAACAACTAGCACTTGGCCATAGGTGTCTCGCCGTTTAAGGCAAATTATGGATTTGACGTAACGTTCACCGATGTACCATCAAGCAAAAGGTGCCTTCCAGCTGTAGAAGGACAAATTAATCAAATCGAAGAAGTTCAAAGAGAACTGAAGGATGCAATGAACCTAGCACAAGAAAAAATGAAAAAGCAACATGAAACTAAATCATGAGAAACACCGGTATGGAAGAACGGCAACAAGGTTTGGCTCAACGGGAGACACGTGTCAACTACGAGGCCTACAGCTAAGTTTTCTCATCGCTGGCTAGGGCCATTCACAATCACCACAAGAATCTCAAAGAATGCTTACAAGCTAGAATTACCCAAGACAATGAGCAGAATACACCCGGTCTTTCATGTCAACTTATTAAGGAAATTTGAAGGCAGTAAGATTCGAGGACAGGATCAGATAGCCCCGCCGCCGGTAGTTGTAGAAGAGAATGAAGAGTTTGAAATTAATGAAGTATTGGACAAGAGAAAAAAGGGGAGGACAATACAGTATTTAATCAATTGGAAGGGTAATTACGGACCAGAATATGACACTTGGGAACCGGAGCAAGGGCTCAAGAACGCTAAAGAAGCAGTACAAGAATTCAACATCATATATCCAAAGTCAGAATTGAGATACTCAAGAACTAGGAGAAAGAAGTGAGGGTATGGCTTTTTCCCCTAGTGGGTTTTTTAATGCCACCCGTGGAAATATGTTGACCTGCAAGAGGAGGTCTAGACATAAAGGGGGGAGTGGTGTTATGATCCCATTAGTGACACTTGTACTTACACATCTGTGACATATGCGCTGAGCATAGCCAAGGCGCTCATGAGCAGCAGACTCTGGTCCTCACTTAGCAATCTAGTTATTGTACCAGAACACCCTGCGCCTTCTCTTGCATCTCATCCCTCTACGCTGGTCCTTACAACTGGCCTTGGGTTGTTGGAAGGTCACCAACCTAAAAGAGTTCCTACTTGGGGGAAGTAGAGGATCCAGAAGGGGCGAAGGTATTACTTACTTTTAATCAAGGAACAGATTAAAGTAATGAAGATATCACTAGTCTTATATTTATAAGACTCTTGATGTTACTTCAGTAGAACTTTGATGGTTCTTAAAAGTGGTGTGTAATAAAATGCTTGGGTAGAATCTCTGAAGGCTGAGAGAGGAGGAGTTTATATACTCTCCTCTCCAAACCTAACTGTAGTGATATTTGTTTGTATCACTACAGTGGTTTAGGGTTTAATTATTACTGTTAGTTATGATTATTATTAATACTACATAATTACATATACGTGTTATGTAATTTATGTAGTATAAACATTTTTAACTCTTGACACTGAGTTATGAGGTGTAATTAGTGTTTTATTACATATTACATATGGTTTTAAATGTAAACGTATATGCAATTAGGAAGTATGTATGATTTATTACAAGTTACATATGTTTTGTAAGGCCTATGTACATGTAATTAGTTGTCTAAAGGTGGTTATCTATGTTACAAGTTAGTCTTTGGGTACATACATATGTACCCAGGGCTGACATAGCAGCATCAGTAGTCTTTGTGTTGGTCGACGCCGCGGCAACATTGACATTGGAAATGGAAATAGCTGGAGTATGCTCTTCTGCATCAGAGTCGTGGAAAGGTCATTCCAGGCAAAATTTCGAGACTTATTACGAGTAGAATCTGGACGTGTGTCGCTAGTACGTTGAACATTGGCTGATCTGCTGGCAAGTGTGTTGATTTGCGATTGTAAAGGAATGGGGTTGACGGTGTTTGCGTTCAAAGGCACGTTTGTAGAGGTCTGTTTCGATACAACGGCATAACCGTTTGCGGCCAACCAAGAGTGGAAACCCCTGGGGGGGCTGACTTCTACGCCAGTGACAGTGTGGTGTCTGGGCGATTTAGATGCTGTGGATCAATGATATTGATAGCAAAAATTTATGGAAAAGAAAAATCGAGTATGTTAAATTCTGTAATTTTCATTTTAGGTAGGAACATCTCTTCTGAGGCATCATTTTATGAAATGGCTACACTCCACGTGGCTTTGCATCTGCGGCAACAACTAAGGTGGATCGATGTTCAAAGGAAGTTATTTTCAAAACAAAGCTTACACGTTACTCCAACATTATCTCTTGCGATTCAACTGGAAGGCTGCAACTCAATCTGCATCTCTTCGACGGTCGTAGAGGCATCTTTAGAAACAGGTGGTTGTTCTTCAGTTGAAGCCGAGACTCCAGAGGTTCCATTAGGAGCTGAAGTGTTGGTAGTTTGATTTTCACCGGGTATGTTGTTTGCAGTTTGGCTTGTTTTGTCTTTATTAGCTTCTGCTAATTGTCGAGCTGCAGAGGATGCTCGAGTTGTTATGGTTGAGGTCTTCTTTCCTCGACCCCTTCCCCTACCTCTACCTGAGTTGGCAGTGCAAGGTGCGGTCGTTCCATCACTCATATTAGTGGCGGCCGGGTTAGTTTGTTCGATTCCAGGGATTGGTTTGTTCATTTCCGGTCTGACATCTGCGGGAGCTGATCCTGCTCTATTAAACACTCTATCACATGTCTTTTTCAGTTGGGTATTAAACCTATCTAAATTACTTTCTACTTGGTTGTTGGTCGTCATTTTGTTTTCGATAAGCGATTTTTCAAATCAGATACTGTCGTTCCCAAAATGCTTGCCACATCGACTATTTTTTAATCGAGCTGGTGGTCCGTGCGCGCTGTCAGAAACAGACAAGAGAAGTGATCACGCAAGAGGAAAAGAACCTCCCTGTCACAAGATTCCATAGCCTTGAAAGAGAGAGAGGGAACCCTCTTTTTGGAAACCCCGACATGAGATTTTTTCCTCTTTTCCTCGCCCTCTTCCTCTTCCCACTCATCATCCACATCATCACTTCATCAATTTCAAGAATCTCGTCGAATACGGTCTTGAACCAGGTACAGCTATGGCAAACAGTGGATACACAACTTCCCACTACTGGGATCGATCCAACTCGAGGTTTGGTAATTAGTCTTGATTTCAATTTTAACCGATCCGATTTCTACAAAACTGTTCTCTCTACTCGGGATGTGGGTTCTACGCACAAGGAAATGCTTCTTTCTTTTTGTAAAATCATTGGATAACCTTGATTCATGTTTTTGATAAGAATCAACCATATGTCTTCCTTACCTTGTTTCTTTTTGGTGATAACAAACAACCAAAAAATTTCATTTGAAAAAGAAACTTTGTAAAATCTCATTTCATAAAGAATCACAAGCTCTTTGAATTTTTGATATCATAAAATCAACATACGTCCTTCTTCTTGTCTGGCTTGAGAACCGATATATATAAGCTTCCGATCATCTTCTTAAAAATGAGAAAACCTTTGACTTTAGGTCTATTATCAAATGTTTCAAAGCTTTGATAACATTGGACCAAGTTTGATGTTAAGAAGTTGCCAATTAAATGACAAACTTGGAGAAATATCTTTACCACTTTCTCGTTTTGAGGATCGATTAAAATTTATAAAAAGAGGACAAATCACATTTTAATTTCAGACAATCCAAAATCGATTGAACTTTTGAATAACAAGGCAAATTCAAAATCAATCGATAAACATTTTGAAAAAGAAGACAAACCAACCTTTGTATTTCAATGAAAATCCAAAATTGATGGAATCTTTAAATAACAAGATAAATTACAAGTTCTTTTGTAAGATAAATTATCGATCGATCATTTATCAACACGATTTTCAGCAGAAGTTTCTACTCAACACAAGATCAAAGGTGAAGTCAAAGAGCCCATAACCAACAATTGACAAACAAATTCATTTCTATTCAAGTGTTTATTGCGAAGTTAAAAACTCTTTGAAACGATAATCAAAAATCAAAAATCGTATCACAAAGACTTGAAATTTGGTACCATTCTTAATGATTTTTAGATTCTTGAAATTGATGAAGTGATGATGTGGATGATGAGTGGGAAGAGGAAGAGGGCGAGGAAAAGAGGAAAAAATCTCATGTCGGGGTTTCCAAAAAGAGGGTTCCCTCTCTCTCTTTCAAGGCTATGGAATCTTGTGACAGGGAGGTTCTTTTCCTCTTGCGTGATCACTTCTCTTGTCTGTTTCTGACAGCGCGCACGGACCACCAGCTCGATTAAAAAATGGTCGATGTGGCAAGCATTTTGGGAACGACAGTATTAAAAGTTGTAAACCAAGACTTTAATCATAAATTATCTGATCTAGACTCTTTTCTAGTTATCAAGGAAGGATGCCACTATTTGGCGACCGCTTTTTCTGACCCGAAGCCCTGTCCCTTTTCAGTACATACCCGCTTATTTTTCGCAAACCCGGACCAGCTCACGCCAAATTTGGCCGCAGCCGCAGCCAATCCGGGCTCCAAATAGATAACATATTTCATTTGGCAGAACAGGGATCCGCATTGATGGAAACCGGGCTGTACACCACCTCCAATACCCAATCAAACCGGGCTTTGACTTCATCTGAAATCAACCTTGGTCCATTCCTCCGTTCCTCCAGTCCAGGAGGTGCATTCTCCTCTTATCTGCCCTGTCCAATCGATCACTTCGCACACTGACCATCCAACATGACTCGACTAAAGATGGTAAGTGTCCTCGCCTCTTTCTTCAATCAATCCATCCTTTCTATTTCTTTATGTTTCTTGTTTCCTTCCTTCACCAACGCGCGCTGAAGGTTCCCTCATGTTGCATCCACAACAGAAACCACCTTTCTTTCTCCACTCCAACAATCAAACCGTTGTGGTCATTCTATTACAGTTGGCCAACAATCGAGTCTTGCTCATCATATTACCCTTGGCTATGTCTCACCACAACCTGCCTCCAACAGCTACACCTCCGTACATGTATCCGCCTGACCATCCCTACTGGTCCATGTTCCCTCCGTATAATCAAACATCAACGTCCAACAACGCGTATCCTGCGGATGCGAGCAAGTCGATTTCGCGGTATACTGACGTGCAGCCATCTGGCAACGCTGCCACGAATACTATACTAGTATAGTATCACAGATACCCGGTATAGTATTGATATCACGATACTGCAAAGTGTGCGTATCGAGTATAGTATCGTCTCACGATACTATACCCAATACAGTATTGAAAGTCAGGATACCTAAAACCCCTTAGGTCCCCAGTATAATATTGGATACTCACACAATACCGATACTGTATCGGGTATCGCCACTCACTGCAGATACCGTTAGATACCAATACTATACTAGTATTGTATTGGTATCTTGCGTCTGATGCCGGTCAAATCAAAGTGTGAATTACCTACCTGTGTAAAAAAACTGAAAACTATTCTTGGTAAAGACAGTAGAGAAATAAGAAAACAAGAAACCATAAAAAACCGAGACAGTAAAGAAAAAAAAGACGCCGTTGCACATGTTGTCAACCACCTTGCCACTGTCTATGCAATTTATCCAAAGCAATGCATTCAGTCATTGACCTTTGTGCCTGCTCAAATTCATCGCCTTGAATGAATACACCATCTTTTGACCACATATGAGCTGACACAGATCGTTCCACAGTTGAAGGTTTAAGTGCGCCTCGGTCTTGGCAACAGACATCAGCAGCAGTAGAGAAAGTTCTCTCTACTGCACACGATCCTCCACTTACTGCAAGATAGTTCCTTGCCATTGAGGACAAGACAGGGTACCTCCCCTGATTGACTTTGAGCAATTGAAGGAAACAAAAGTCAGTGACCTTTCAATAAGATGGAAAGGAGATGAATCAATCTACCTTCCACCAATCTAGAGCAAGCCGAGGGTCCTTCTCCACTTCAGGTCCAGGCTCATCTGCACCCTCAAACCAATCCCGCAATTCATTTTCAGTTCGTTTCTGGTGCTTCTTCTTATGAGCACGAAATCCATCATCCTCAATCTTGTCAGCCTCATCTTCATTTATATGAGATGCATTGTTTACGCTTTTGGCTTCTTGTTTAGCTTTTTCTTTATTAAAGTCGTTTCCAGTAAGGTTCGAGCTTTGTTGTATTCGGTTGATTCGGCGCCAAATGCCCACTGAAAGAAATCAAGCCGGAACGATGGATGGAGGACGGTTGCCAAGATCAAGACGTTGGATTCCAGGGCTTTGGCAAGATAAGCCGACACGCGCACATGCATTGCATGATACATCGGGAACAGAGCATCGACTCGTGATTCACATGAATCAATCTTGCCTTGGAGTGATGTCTTCAATTTGACGTACTCGCGGATGACCATGGCTCCAGTAGGTCCATCGGTTTCGAATAATTTGGTGAGGGTTTCAAACTCCTATTGAACAATTTCAAAGTGGTTAGTTAGCATGAATGATATGTTATAGAATCAGTTACTCACTTGAAGAATCTTGATCAATTGGTTGATCTGCTTCCATTGGTCAGGCGTGATCAGTACTTTGTTGAAAATGCCCCGAGGTCGATTATCGTAAGGATCAGACGGAGCATTGCCGTTGCTCTTATTCTTTTTTTCCCTTTCTCAACTTCAATCTGGTCTTCTTTAAGCATCCTATCGATGACCTGTAACATATGGATGGATATTATAAGCAAAAAATCATTGAGGTAAGCTCAAAAAGGATGACTTACCTCTCGAGCTTGGTATAACCTTCCCCAACATTGCACCTTGATGTTCCAGTGTATTCCATAGCCGGGAATCGAACATGGAAAATTGACCTTCATACTTTTACAAGTAGCGTCAAACACACACAACATCCTTGAGGATCCTCCGATCTTCCGGGCTATTTCATCAAGCTGTTGAAAACCATTAGGTACCATCAGTTACTTCTCTTCATCATAAAAAATGTTGATTTCACTCACTTGCACTGTCAGTTGATGAACTGAATTTGCCTTGTTACAGTTAGTTGCTGGAGGATCGGCAAATGGTACATCAATGACCTCGTACCAAGCATCTCCCACAGCAGTCCCCTGTCTATCACCAAAATCATTTTCTTCTTCTTCTTCATTGTCTTTGTCTTCATCTTCTCCTTACTCAATTCGCTTTTGTGTATTATCAACAATTTCTGACTCATCTTCTTCAACAATTGTTGGCATTGTATATTCAGCTAGAGGGAAATCGCCAAGGATGCTTGACTTGACGAGAGGTGGAGGTGGAGCCTGAATCCCAAGCGCCTGAAGTCCTGCATTGACAATCAGAGCAACTTTGTGAGCTGCACATCTGACTCGATCAGTAGCTGGGTCCCAATCAACGACCTCGAGATCGTCCACACATGCATTCAAGAGGCAAGCATGCATTGCCCGAGCGCAAGTGTTGTTATTACTGCCGGAATTGTGCGTCTGAAATAGCATGTAAGATTTGTAAAGAATCTGATGTCAGTTAAGATTTTGAAAAATATATACGAAAAGTAAGAAACAAATAACAAATGAAAAATAAACTCATCTTAGTGTATAATTTGTGTTTGACAAGCACATTTATGAGAGGCTCGGCCAACCACTCTCCTTTATGATGCCACGCAAGCATCTTCATTGTAAGATGGCGC